AATGTCTGTCAGTCAGTCAGTCAAATCCCAACTCTGACGATTGTTACTTCATTTTCGAGATCATCATAGCAATCGAGGTCATTCTTATAACTATGAGCGTGCAGCTAAAGACTGTGATGAATATTGTAGCATGCTTATGGACTTTAATAATATGGGAGAGCTTATGAGAAGAATAATGACACATTCGTTGATTGATCCAGAGGTAATGAAAGCGAAAATATCCCTTGAACTATACTTTTCACATTCTCTTTTCTTTAAGGTTTATAAAAGACTTGTTAAATCGCCATTTCCAAAAAATAAGTTTGGTCAATATATGATTCAAAGTAGTCGAAAATATGAAGAAGCTATAAAAATGTTCCCATGTTTGTTAAAGTTGGGGAAAATAATTCTTGGTCCACAATATTGTCTCGAAATAGAAAACGAATCATGGGCATCATTATTTTTTGTGGGCAAAGCTTTATGTCTTGAATTGGGATCATCATTAGTTGCGTTACATGATCAAAATTTAGTCGAAAGTTCATCACGAGGATCTAAAGCCAGAATAACGGTCTCATTAGCTGACAGAATTGCCATCAATTTACTTCCTTTCTATAACTGGATGACCATAGTTAATGAGAAACATGAAATTGCTTTCGATTTATATACAAAGACCAATGAAAAAATTACTTTGGGTGAGAATTTAAAAATCTCATCAACATTCGACAAAAATTTGTTTAAAGAAATTAACAGAAACAGTAATGGAAGCAGAATTTATGGTCAAGCAATGAAGACAGGTAAAAGTCAAGTTTCAGGGAGATTTGAGAATCTTAAAGTAAATGCAGAAATTGAGATATTATCAGGAATTAATTTAACACCAAAACTTGTCTTTCTTCCGTTTGACAAAATCAATTATGCAAAACAAAACATTCAATTCAAAGCGACAGGCGGTGATGGAATTTTTCATTTCTCATCTTCACATCCTCATTTATTAACAATTTCTCATGAGGGATATGCTGAATCGCAGTTGGAACATTCTGATAAAAACATGTTTGAAGTTGATGTGAAAGCTTCTTTGACAAGAAATGCAGATATTCATCAAAGAGCAAAAGTAATATTTCTGACACCATTGAAGCTTCAAATTGTTGGCTACCAGGTTGAAACGCCACTCAATCAATACATTGATGTTCACATTGGATTATTTGCACTTTATAAAAACAAATATGAGCCGTACCTGTCATGTTCTAACATAAATTTTGATGTTGAATTTGCAAAAGAAATCTTCAAAATTGACACTGTCAACGATTCAAATGAAATAGATGAAATTAAAAGAATCAACAATGCGTGCAAAGTGATAAAATTAAAGGCCATTCAAATAGGTACAACAACAATCAAAGTTTCTTATCGTCTACATGAAACCATGCAAGATGAAGCAATGTTGATGGTTTATGAGCCGTTGGTAGTGTTAAATCCACAATCAAATACAATAATTCTACCAACTGGATCTTCAAGAAACATTATTTATCAAAATGGTCCGAAGAAAACATTCAGTATAAGCAGTGAACTCATCAGAAACATAAAATATGAAGAAGAATTTATTGAAGTTGCAGAAATTAAATCAGAATTTCAAGAAGAGAGATTTGCTTACAATATTCTTTGTCGAAAAGTTGGTGATTCACAACTAACTCTTGAAGTGTTCAATCAAATCAATGAAGAAAGCTTTCTTAAAAACTCGATTATCATGGAAACGAATGTTTATTGCGTAAAGCCTCGTTTCATTAATCTTTTATCGAAGAATCAATTGAAATCATCATGTCCAATCGATAGGAAAAGTTTACTTCTTCATTTGCCATCTGAAGAAGATGACCTTGAGATTGAAATTGAAGTTTTAGATGAACGTAAAAGAAAACTGCAGAACATAACAAGTCTTGTTATTGATGTTGTGTTCTTAGATCTGAAAGAAAATCGAAATGAAATCAAATACAGTCGAGAAAGTGACACATTTTCAATCGATAAAATTCCAATACCGAAAGGAGACTTCATAAGAAAGAAGCATGAAGTGAATGACATCAACATGAATTATAAAATTAAAATCAAAGTAAGTGGATACGATGTCAAAGTTTTAAAACAATTCTCGATTGAACCGGAAGTTCCTGTTTTTGGTGAGAAGAAAGTTGGTAGTTCGAATGTTGTAACGACACCATTAATTGAAAACGAGCTTGACTTGATATCCTTCGATTCTTCATTACTTCAGATTTCATCGATCTCTTTAATTCTGTTGGGCACAGAATTAACACAAATTGTTGGAATTGCACATGGAAGTGGACATTATGATATAAAAAATCCAAAATGCTGACCTTCTCGATGCATTCTACGGTAAAGTTCAGTCAAACATTGTTTTGTTGCCGAAGAAAATTGGAACAACAATTCTTGAGATTAGTGACAAGTGTTTAGCAACGGAATCATCAAAACTTCATGTTTCGATTGTTTCAATTGGTCGTGTCGAACTTTCCAGTCCTAATCGAGTTGAAAGTTTAAAAACTATCGAAGCTATCGTTAAAATATTTGATTCAAATAATGAATTGATTAATGTTGACGTCTCGAAGCTCCAAGCTTACAAACTCAGTGAAAAAATATCAAATGAGAAAGTTTTAAATGTGAAGCTTGGACATCAAAATAACTTAAGACGTGGTGAAATTCGCTACATTGTTAGAGGACTTGATGTTGGTGAATCAAATGTCATCGTGAGTTCTGATGCAATTTCAAGTTCGCCAGTAAATATTCAAGTTTTCTCACCACTTAAACTCATGCCTAAAAATGCGACAATTCTTGTTGGATCTAATTTAGAAATAACAATAATTGGTGGACCAAAACCACAACAAAATATCATTTATGAGATCACAAACAATGATGTGCTTGCAATTGATGGATCAATAGTTGAAGGAATAAAAGTTGGCAAGATGACAGTGACTGGAAGAAGTACAGAAATAAATCCATCAGATGGAAGTTTGATAATATCTTCCGAAGATAAAATTGAGATAACTGTCGTGACACTTAACAAAATCAACATTCACACACCACTTAAACGACTCAAGTCAGGTAACATTGCACCATTAACATTATGGGCTGAACCTGAAGTATCTCCAATGGTTCTTGGAACACTCAAACATCTCAAGATCAAATGGACAGCAAATGCACCAGACATTCTTGAAATTAAAGATGTGTTTGATGATTTAGGAGTTCAATATGGTGAGAGTGATGCAATAGCAATGCGTGTACGTGGATTGAAACAAGGAAAATGTAAAATATCGGTGACAGTTCATCATGGAAGTACAAAATTCATCGCATCGATCGACATGACAATCTTCAGATCGATTGCTTTAGAAATGCCGAAGAAAATTATTCATGATCCGATAATCATCACGCCGAAGACAACATTACAATTGAAAGTTAATCTTGATGATACGACATTTGAATTGAATGAACAAGCTGATAGAAGAATTGTCGACGTGACACAAGACGGCGTTGTGAGATCTTTGGAAATGCTTGGAACAACACTCGTCGTTGCAAATTGCAATGATCAGAAATTAGACATTCCCATCGATGTTAAAAATATTCATTACTTAATGGCGACAGTCAATCCAACAACACAATTACTTAATGCTGGAAAACAACTTCCACGTGACTTGAGCTTTACAATCTCGGTGACATTGCATGACAACATTGGAAATAAATTTTCTCATGGACTTGAAGACATCAAATGGAAATTATCAAATCGTAACATTGTTGAGATCAAAACTGTTGATAACTCGACACTTTCTGTTGGTCTTCTTCAACAAGGTTCGAATATGTTGGGAATTTCACTTCGTGATGGTTCAGGTAATGAATTGATGGAAGATTTCGTGAAACTTTCTGTTGGAACATCATTCGGAATATTCAATAGAACACTCATTGTCACAACTGGCGATATAATTTGTTTCGAATCGAATTTCGTAAATGAATTTCCATGGCAAAGTTCCAATTCTGATATTATCACAATTCATGATTCAGTTGCTCGTGTTCTAAATCCATCAACGACATCAATCACATCATCAAAAGTCACCATCAGGAACAGTGCAAGTGACATTTTTAGTATCAAATATGAACTTGATTTTCGTAATCCCGACCAAATAAACTTCCAAAAACCTTTTGACATTTTCAATGGTGAAAGATATTTTGGATATTTCACAATCAATAACCATCATCAGATTGGAAAAAGTGTCAATATGATTGCAAATAACCATTCACATTGTAAGTCACTTAATGAGAAATTTGTTATTGATTTCGTTAGTTGTAAATTGTCATCGTCATCTTCGGGCTATCAACAAGATGAGGAAATTTTATCCTTAAAAAAATTATTTGAAGTCCAAGCAATTTTTGATAAAAATGTTGGATCATATGGATGTGAGATCAAAGCATTAGTGACCATGGATGAGATCACGAACATTGTACGAACAAAATTTTCAACACTTCAATTGGAAGTTAATCTCAAAAACAACATGGGAATTTATGATAAAATTGATTTGAAATTGTCGCCTGCTATTCAAATTTATCCACGAAATTTACCAACTGAAAAATTGAATCATCAAGAAATTTTAATTACTGGAATGGAAAATATTCTTCAGAAGGTGACAGTAACGAGTTCACATCCTGATCAACTTATGTTGCAACCGATATTGAGATCTATTGGCAAGATACAATTCAAGCCAAAATTATTAAATTCTGATTTAAACGATGCTGAAGTGTTCATTAAAGTTGAATCACCGTTGACACATCAAACTGTTCTTATTCCTTTGCTGCCACCAACACGAGATGACAATTTTAAAAAAACAGATTCATTTATCACCGATATCATGTCAAACATCGGTAAAGTCATTGCCGTTTGTGTCCTGGTCTTTACTTTCATGGTTTCAATTCTCTTAATGCAAAAAACACGAAACATAGATACAAGTGGAGGTATTAATTACATTTTCTATACGTGCTTAAGATATTTAATTCCTTCTTTTTTTAGTTTTCATGGATAAAAACAGCAGTTCACCAACGAATCTCAATCAAAGTTTCATCAATAGAAGTGAAGGCAACATAAGCGACCAAAGTGTAAAATTTTTACAAAATACTTAGTGGTTCTAAATTTAGTACAGATCATAGTCAAGTATCTTCTCCAATCTATGGCGATCCATCAATACCAAATCTTTATCAACGTTATCACAAGAGAGCACTTTAAAGATCTCAATGGAGATTTTTTTTTTCAAATACCTAATTCAAGTCAAATGCCAAACAATAAGAAACTTTGATATCAGTTGAGAATTATGTTCGTTTTGATGCTCCTTTATGTACTTAATTAATTAAATAAATTCTTCAGATTCAATTTATATTTAAATCTGTCTTGTATGAATAACAACATAAATTATGCTACATTATCAACATCACGCTACAAGATAATGCTCGTAATTTTGATGAAAAAAATTTTAAAATTCTTTTCAATGATTTGTGTTTTAAGAGAAATTTGATGCTATCTTGCATAATGGTTCAATGAGGTCACATAAAAAAGGGTAAATTGAAACTAATCAGCATTTGTTTTTCATATTTTTCATTTTATTGGATTTTTGGGATTTTGCAAGGGATTTTGCAAGGGGCAGATCATGGTAGTGCTTCTGCCCGCTGCCTCCAAGTGATGCTTCGAAAATCACTAGTGCTTTTCAAGAAAAATGGCCTTTTTCCAAGAATTTGTTTACTTTTTCTTGGAATTTGTCTAGTGCTTCAATGCAGCAATAGTGCTTTTGCCCTCCAATTTTTTCCGATGATCTGCCCCTTGGGATTTTGCACGAATATGAGAAGAGAAAATATCGAAAATATGAAGAGAGAAAGAGAATAAAAAAGATGGGAGAGAGAGAATGAATGTTCGACCTTCAATCGTTCTTTGACTATCCAGGAGGTACGAGACGACAGAAAAAAAAGCTTAATTATCCTTGTATCATCATGACAGTGTCACTGCGTACTGTTGCAACAACACCTTTTGATGGACAAAAGCCTGGAACTAGTGGACTTCGTAAGAAGGTCAAAGTTTTTACCGAAAAAAACTACACCGAAAACTTCGTGCAATGCATTCTTGATTCGGTTGGCGAGAACATCATTCGTGGATCAGTGCTAGTGGTTGGTGGCGATGGGAGATATTTTCTGAAAGAAGCAATTGACATCATCATTCGTATTTGTGCTGCTAATGGGGTTGGCCGGCTAATGATCGGTCAAACTGGAATTCTTTCCACCCCAGCCGTGTCATCATTGATACGTGCCAATAAATGCAACGGTGGCATAATTTTGACAGCTTCCCACAATCCTGGTGGTCCCGAAAATGACTTTGGCATTAAATACAATTGTGAAAATGGTGGACCAGCTCCTGATCATTTGACTAATAAGATGTATGAATTGTCTATGAAGATAAAAGAATACAAAATTGCTGATGGAATTTCTGTCAACTTGGAAACGATTGGCTCAAATTCATTCGATGTTAATGGAAAGCCTTTCATCGTAGATGTAATCGATTCTGTTGCTGATTATGTTTCGTTGATGAAGACAATCTTTAATTTTGATAAGTTAAAAGCTTTCGTTAGTGGATCCAAATTGTTGAAAATGCGAATTGATTCATTGAACGGAGTGACTGGTCCTTATGTTCGTGAGATTTTCTTAAAGCAACTCGGTGCTTCCGAGGAAAATGTTGTTCATACGATTGCTTTGCCAGACTTTGGAGGTCTTCATCCTGATCCAAATCTGACATATGCCAAAGATTTAGTTGATAACGTCACGTCAGGTGATTATGACATTGGAGCTGCTTTTGATGGCGATGGCGATAGGAACATGATTTTAGGAAGAAAAGGATTCTTTGTCACTCCCAACGACTCACTAGCAGTCATTGGTGATTATCTTGAATGTATCCCATACTTCCAAAAGAATGGAATTCAAGGATTTGCTCGATCAATGCCAACAGCTGGTGCATTGGACTAGTAAGAAAATTTCTTAAAATTTCAACATGTTTTTAACTTAACAAAATTTAATTTCCAGTGTTGCTGCTGCTAAAAATAAGGAACTGTTTGAAACACCTACAGGATGGAAATACTTTGGAAACCTCATGGATGCAAATCGCCTTTGTCTTTGTGGTGAAGAATCATTTGGAACTGGATCGAATCATATTCGGTGAGTTTAAATTCAAAATTTAATTTAAAATAATTAAATTTGATCATTTTTATGAAGAGAAAAAGATGGAATTTGGGCTGTGCTTGCTTGGCTTTCTATAATGGAACATGCGAAGAAATCTATTGAAGACATTTGCAAGGAACATTGGACAAAGTATGGTCGAAATTACTTCACCCGTTATGGTAATTAATTTGATTTGTTTTACTCAAACAATTTATTTTTTTTTTTTAATCTAATAGATTACGAGGAATGTGAGTTGGCTCCATGTAATCAAATGATGAGTGACTTGGAAACTTTTATCACGAAACCTGAATTTGTTGGTCGTGAATTTTCAGCATGTGGAAGATCTTATAAAGTGAAGCTTGCTGATAACTTCAGTTACAAAGACCCAATCGATGCTTCAGTGGCAACAAAGCAGGGGCTTCGAATTATTTTTGAAGATGGATCACGCATTGTAATACGACTGTCTGGAACTGGAAGTTCTGGGGCAACTGTTCGTTTATATATTGAAGCTTATGAACCCAAAGACGTCTTTGGAGATGCTGCTGTAATGCTCAAGCCACTCATTGAAATTGCTTTGATCGTTTCAAACTTGAAGCAATATACTGGTCGTGACAAACCAACTGTTATCACATAATTTAATAAATAAAGTGAAATATCTTAAAAATGTCATGAAATTGTTATGGAAAAAATTAAAAAAATAAATAAATTTTCGATACATCCAGAAATGATTTATTTGCGTTTTGTTTTTTTAATCCTGCGCTAACACAATTCACAATCATTTTTTTTATTTCTTACAAAAGTTTTTCTCAGAGTTTTGTTGTTGACTAAAGAAGTGCAAACATTTATTTGAATAGAACGACACGATACATAACTTAGATGGGGAGACAAGTGACACAAGAAAACTTCTTCAAAGCTGACAATTAACAAATTTTTCTTTATCAGTTTATACATTTTAAGATGTTATGTTGTGGGAGGAGAATAAACATAAATAAAGAAAACCATGTTAAAAGTTCATCCCGAAGATTTTTCCTGTCACTTGTTTAACAATTAGTCTTGACACGAGTTTTTTAATTCTTTTTAACTTTTTTTTCTCTTTAATTTTTTTTATCTCTCGTTAATTGCTAATATTGAATGACCGCATATTTAATGATTTTATTCTTTCTTATCGCGGTAGTAATTGGAAAAATCTTGTTTCGTTCCAATATGTTTTGTTTTTTTCTTTCTCAATCAGTATTTAGTGAAAATTGTTGATTTTGTTTATTATTATCTACTATGTTATTTAACTGATTTAAATGAACTTATGCTGCTTCCTTAGCCAAACGTTCAGCCTTTTCAACGACCTCTTCGATTGGTCCAACCATGTAGAAAGCAACTTCTGGCAAATGATCATAATCGCCAGCCAAAATTTTGCTGAAGCCTTTGATGGTTTCTGCAAGTGGCACCAATTTACCAGCATGACCTGTGAAGACTTCAGCGACCTGGAATGGCTGTGACAAGAAACGTTGAATTTTTCGTGCACGGGAAACAGTTAATTTGTCCTCTTCCGATAATTCATCCATACCCAAGATAGCAATAATATCTTGGAGTGATTTGTAATCTTGTAAGATCTTTTGAACGCCACGAGCAATGTTATAATGTTCATGTCCAATAATATTAGGATCCATAATACGTGATGTTGAATCCAATGGATCGACAGCTGGATAAATTCCTAACTCAGCAATGGCACGAGACAACACAGTTGTAGCGTCCAAATGAGCAAATGTTGTGGCTGGAGCAGGATCTGTCAAATCATCAGCTGGCACATAAATAGCCTGTACAGATGTAATTGATCCTTTTTTAGTTGTTGTAATTCGCTCCTGCATAGTACCCATGTCAGTGGCCAATGTTGGTTGATAACCGACAGCAGATGGAATACGACCCAATAAAGCAGACACCTCTGAACCAGCTTGTGTGAAACGGAAAATGTTGTCAATAAAAAGCAACACATCTTGACCTTCTTGATCGCGAAAATATTCGGCTACAGTGAGACCAGTCAAAGCAACACGAGCACGAGCGCCTGGAGGTTCATTCATTTGACCGTAGACAAGTGCTACCTAAAGAATAATTAGAATTATTTCAATTCGTCTTTGTATTTTTTTTTTGAATAATAAGCATTACCTTAGAGGTTTTATCTTTCAAAGAGATGACACCACCTTCAATCATTTCATTGTACAAATCGTTACCCTCGCGAGTACGTTCGCCAACACCAGCAAAGACAGAGTAACCACCATGAGCTTTAGCGACATTGTTAATAAGTTCCATAATCAATACAGTTTTTCCGACACCAGCTCCACCAAAGAGTCCAATTTTACCACCTTTAGCATAAGGAGCAAGCAAGTCAACGACCTTGATTCCAGTTACCAAGATTTCTTGTTCAACACTCATCTCAACGAATGGAGGAGCTTCTGCGTGAATAGCAGCTACCTTATCAGTTTCGATAGGACCTCTTTCGTCGATTGGTTCGCCAATGACATTAATGATACGGCCTAATGTTTCAGCTCCAACAGGGATACGAATTGGGAATCCTGTATCAGCGACTCGTTGACCTCGAACTAAACCTTCTGTACCATCCATAGCGATTGTGCGTACGATGTTTTCTCCCAAATGTTGAGCAACTTCCAATACTAAACGTGTCTGACGGCCTTGTACTTCAAGAGCATTTAAGATTGGCGGCAAACTATCGTCGAATTGGACATCAACGACAGCACCAATAACAGCAACGACCTAAATTGATGGGAATTGCAAAATTTTTACTTCACCATTATTATTATTATTTATATTCAATTTTATTCTTACCTTGCCCTGAGCTGCAGCAGCGGCATTTGTAGCTGCCTTAGCTGCATAGCTTCTGGCTGTTGAGGAGAAAATAAATAATTATTTTTTTATTTGTCTAACTTGTTATGCAATTTCAATTTTCAAAATAGAAAATTAGTTTTTCGTCTAAGTTATCTATAATAATATATATGTTATTTGCTTATGCAAACTGTCAAAAGTACATAAAGTAGATTAAAGCTTTCGTTAACATTTGGTTGAAATCTCCTCTTTTCGAAATATTAACCTTAAATTTTCATGAAATTTGTGACGTAATTTTGAAGTTATTAAAAGATTCGAACATGATATTTCAGTGGGTTAAACTCAAAAAGAGTTGATTATAATTGCAGTTATACTCTAATGAGTAGGAATTTATAACTTTTAAGGCTAGAGAAATGTAAATTCTTCAAGCCGATTTTATTTTTCAACTTGATTAATTTTTTTTTAAATTTTGAATACGCAACAGTATTGTATTACGTATATCATAAGTTTTTAATGTTTAATTATTGATTCTCAGGTATATCAAATTGGATTATTCTTCAAATTGAATGTTTTATATTTTTCATTTATTTAAAAGACAGGGCAAAAATAAAGGGGAGGGGGAATTATGCAACAAATTTTTTTTTCTAAGATGGCATATCAGAGAGCTGATTTTATTCTGAATATTAATTCTTGATTATTGATAAACCTATCATATTATCAAAGAGTTATACTCACTCGTCAGATTTTGTATTAATTTTGATGCTCGCACCGCGGTAAACATGGTTTTCACTGATATTCTACCACGAATGAAAAGGTTCTCTCAACTTGAAAAGAAAACTCGGTAAGGGTTTGATCAAAGTTTTGTCACATTATACCGGGGTGTCAATGACATTTTATTTTTTAAAACTATCCTCAAGTTTTCAGTTCATTGATTCAAATGAATTCATTTTCATGATTAAATTCTTTGTTCGAGAATTTTTGTTTCTTTACCACCTAGAGCTTAAAACTTCAAAATAAGCATCGTACATGACGATTATTGAGAGTTACCAAGTTTATATATTATCCCCATAGAAGCAGACATTATTATATTCAGAAAGATGCTAAAACTAAATTAAAATTCAAAACTTCGTTAAATTTATTTTCATTTTTCTTTCTGCATGAAATCTTGAATTTTTATTATTTCACAAAAGTATTTCCGCATTATAATATAAAATAGTAATGATGTGATTAATAATTAAACTGGCTTATAATCCAATTTGCTTTCGAGTTTCTTGTTATCCGAGACTTTTCGAACAGCTTTCATGAAATCTTCTTGTACGACATATTCTCTCTCCGACCTTTGAAAACAAATAAAAACATTGTTTATCATTATTCTTCAATCAAATATCTTCATAAACATACCTGATAGCAAACAAACCAGCTTCAGTACAAACATTTCTCAAATCAGCTCCATTAAAGTTGTCAGATAATTTGACAACCGCTTCATAATCAATTTCACCATGCTTGGCGATTGGAGAAGCATGAATTTTGAGAATCTCAAGACGAGCTTGCTCATTGGGCAGTGGAATTTCAATCTTTCGATCTAAACGTCCTGGACGTAAAAGTGCTGGATCCAAAGTATCAGGACGATTAGTTGCCATTATCATTTTTACTTGTCCCAAAGAATCAAAACCATCCATTTGATTAAGGAGTTCCATCAAAGTACGTTGAATTTCACGATCAGCTGAAGTACCTTCTGAAAATCGGCGACCACCAATAGCATCAATTTCATCCATAAATATAATACATGGTTGATGATCTCTAGCATAGTTAAACATCTCACGAATTAAACGAGCAGATTCACCGATATATTTATCAACGATAGCACTTGAAACGACTTTTAAGAAATTAGCATCCAATTGTGATGCAACAGCTCGTGCTAAAAGAGTTTTTCCTGTTCCAGGAGGACCATACAATAAGCATCCTTTTGGTGGAGTGATACCAACTCTCAAGAAGAGCTCAGGATTTAACAATGGGAGTTCAATAACCTCACGCAATTCACGGATTTGTTCAGACAAACCACCAATAGCTGAATAAGTGACATCACCAGGGTCTTCGTGCGACATATTATAAACCAAAGGATCAACTTCCCGTGGTAAGTATCGCATAATAGTAAGTGTCGTCATATCAAGTGCAACTCGAGTTCCTGACTTCAATTTTGTTTTGTCCAACTGGCGACGACATCCAACAACATAACGTGGTCCATTAGTTGCTTTTACAATAACTAATAATGAAAATTTTATTTAATTAGATTCTTTTTTATCTTTGTTTCACTTACATTTATCTTCTGTTAACTGCTTCAAAACTTCCCCAACAATTTGTCCAACACTTTGCAGAGCTTTCAAATCATTTTCTGATTTATCAAATTGTTTAGTAAGTTCCTTCAATGTTTCGCGAACTTTATGTAGAAAATGTTTGAAATTCTTTATTTATCATAAATGTTTAATGTAAGGAATAACATTGACTTACTTTCTTTTAATCGTGACTCGACTTCTTTGTGTTCCAATAACTTTTTACGATAATCTTGTAATGCCTTATCACGAACAGGCTCACTAACAGCAATTGCAGCCATTTTAATTGTGTAATTCAAACTAATTTCAATCTATTTGAAGATGATTTAGCGATTTACGATGAGTGAAGCAAAATTCGTGAATGATCCAAAAAGTGACGCAAATAAAATTCAGGCTCGAGCATATTCCTGCGTTACTAATCGTCCCGAAAACTAGCCTTAAGGTCATAGTAACTAAGGGCTTTAATCCCGCGCGCACTACTGTGCTTTGTCACAAACAAGTTTTTGCCAGCAAAAACTTACCTTATCGTCATAGTGCTAAGGCTTAAAATCACGTGATTTAAAATTTTTTTTGTTAAAATTAACAAAAGAAGCGAAATTTGTGACGAGAAATTAGTTAGCCCAGAGACTTCCAATAATAAAAAGCTCCTTCTCAGTATTTCCCGTAATTTTTTTAAATCCAATAATATTTCGCGCATTTTAGATATTCCTTTTAAACTATAAGAATTGTTCAGTGTTTGGAATAATAAAGAATCATGGCAAACACACTGAAACAAATTTCCTTAACTTGTTCAGGGTATACATTAAAAATTTTACATTTTCAATTGTTCTTTCTCTTCTCTCATATTTTCAAAAAGAAAGCAAATTATTAAAGAAATATATTTTTTATCCAATTTTTAGCCATACTCGACCTGTTTGCCACCTGGATTTTAGCGATATCACGGATTGTGGTACCAGTTTTCTCATTAGCGCTTGTAAAGGTGCGTAGAATAAAAGGAAAGAAAATAATTATGAAAATGAAGGTCATGAATTTGTTTCCGTAATGTGTTTATTATTTAATACTCGATGTGTTTGTTCGTCAGCCTGTCAGGCGTTAAAATTAATCCTTGAAATCTTATTTCTTTTCTTGCAAAACTTGTTTACGTTTTATATTTGAGAAATTTCATATTTATTTAATGCTTTCAGATGGAAAACCCATGTTAAGACTTGGTGATACCGGAGATTGGGTTGGAACTTTTGAAGGACATAAGGGTGCTGTATGGGGAGTCAGCCTTAACAAAATGGCAACATTAGCTGCAAGTGGCGCTGCTGACTTCTCTGCAAAGATTTGGGATGCAACCACTGGTGAAGAAAAGTGTAATTTTCAGCATAATCATATCGTTAAAACTGTGGCATTTGATGAGAAAAGTCTTCATTTACTTACCGGTAATAACGAAAAATTAATGAGAGTATTTGACTTAAGCCAATCAGACACAAACCCTGCTGTAGAGATTTACGCAGGTCATAATGGTGCTATAAGAAGAGCTTTCTTTTGTCGTAATGATAAATGTATTGTAAGCTGTGCTGAAGATCAAACAGTCAGAATTTGGGATCGTTCCACTGGAAGTGAAGTTCAACATATTGGTTTCTCATCTAACCCAAGTAACATCGAAATTTCTAAAGATGGATCAATTCTTACTGTCACAAATGGTTCAAATGTCTCGTTCTTTGAAATGGATTCTTTGAAAAAGATTAAAGAAATTTCTGTTCCTACAAAGCTTGCTTCTGCAAGTCTTCACCCCGATAAATTGGGTAAATATTTGAATTTTTATCATTTTTATCTTTTATCTAATTTTCTTTTCATCAAATAAGTTTTTGTATGCGGCGGAGAAGATTTTAAAATTTATAAATTTGATTACATCACTGGAAACGAGATTGAATCTTTCAAAGGACATTTTGGCCCCGTACATGCAATATCTTTCAGTCCTGATGGTGAACTATATGCTAGTGGAAGTGAAGATGGCACCGTTCGTTTGTGGCAGACAACTGTAGGAAAAAATTATGGACTGTGGAAATGTCTTAATGGATCTGAAAACGACATGACATCAATGAATTCCAACACTCCAATCAGTGCTAACTAACAAGTGAAAAAAGACGCAGCCAATTGTTTTTCTGCCTACTTATGAATGAAACATCTTTCGAAGATTAATTCTTCTAAATGCAAGAAATTAAAACATTAGTTATTAGATAATAAATATAATAATTTAATTTTTTACAATGAATTTCATATGTACGTATTCGATATTTAGTCCAATAATTGATGAGTATATTCATTTGCCTTTGTTTCATATTTTCAAGTTCGTTACTATTTACAAGTGTACAATAATGAACAACAAACATAAACGAATGAATGAATCATCTAAATAAATTAACGTTTTTAATATTTTTGAAAATGATGTGTCATCGAAGTAAGAAAGAGATGAATATACCTACATTGTATTCTCATCACGAACACTACTTAGTATATTTGCTTGCTTCTACGCTCGAACCCGAAAACTGAATAAGAATTGAGCAAAGTTTTTCGTTTTTCGAGATTAATAAGTTTTGTTGGATTTTTATTTGTTCATTAGATACAATTTGTTTTTATATCATCATTGTCCTTGTTTTTGTTGTGCGTGTTAAGGAACTCGCTGTTAATTCTTCCATAATTTTGATTTAAAGGTGACTAAAAAATTTACACTTTTAAAAGTGCCTTAATCCCGTTATGTTGCAAGTTCACTTAGTTTTAGTTTAGCAAGATTGACAAAAGTATTATTTTTTGTTTGTTTATTGAGAGATTCAACAAGTGAGATCAATAATTGATAGCATTAAAATTCCATCCAACAAATGTGACAAGAATTCCGATAATTAATTGTCACAAAAGATTTTAAAGAAAAGTGGAAAAGAGAAAGTATTAAGTTTGGTTGAAAACTTGATTTCAAGGCTTGATTCAAGATTGAGTTTATGACCATTAAAAAGAGCTGTAGATGGAATAAAATAACCACATTTTGAACTGAATAAATTACATGTAAATGTGAGCAGTAGAAAATGCATGAGTTATTCGCAAACGTTTTAGCAAAACGAGATCTTTCACGGGCTGGCGAATTGTTTTTCATTCCCGATGACGATATCGTTGATGATTTGACTGATGTGGTGAATTAAAGAATTTTCTTTCAAATATTGAGTGGATGAACAAGTTTTTATTTCTTCTATTTTTTATTTCTTTATAAAGCTGCTGGAAATCTCCAAGATCATATCTCATTCACGTTTTTTGGAAGTAAAAAATGATCAGTCAGTTATAGAAATCTGCGTGAATCGTTGCACATCATGTATTCGTGAGACTGACAGTGCCGAAAGACATTGTCAAGGCCTGGTACGATTACTTGAAACATGTCTGCAATTCAATCACAAGCCTCAATCGAAGCCAAGTGAGGATCCTCCTCATGCTAAAATATCTGCTGATATCATTTCATGTATTTTTCTTAATTACAATAAAAAATTTGTAATGGAGTTGGGTGAGTTGATAATCTTTATTACTTTTATTTACATTTTCAACAATAAATAATGATGATAAATATTTTTAGCGCTACCTGTTGCTGTAAAATTCTTAAATAAAGAGAACAAGGAACTTTCAAAGAACCTTGCATCCTACCTGTCATTGGCTGCTATCGAATATACTAATCTTCTTGTGCCTTACATTGATATAATCTTAAATTCATTGCTCAATGGAAATTATTCTTTAGCGCGTGTCGTTTTGCAGTTGTACGAAATGTCAAGCGAAACTGCTATTATAACAAGAATGCGCAGTATTATTGACATTCTTCCAAAATGTGATACAATAGATAAAAATATTCTGCTGCAGTTAATTGCGATGGTTGTTTATTCAGCCAATAGCTCAACGAATAAAGGAATAATTTTCCTGATCGTCGACAAACTGCCTCAATTCTTCGATCTAATTCTGATGACCTCAGCATCAACACAAGCACTTATCGTTCTTCTTCGTTTAGCTGAAAAGAAGCCAGTAGTTCTCTACGAATATTTAAATCTGCTTATTATGACTGCCAAAAAACTTCCACACACCATTTGTCTTGTCGGTCAAATTCTCTCAGCCATCGGTAAGAAGAATAAGGAAAGAGCACAAATTGCTCTCGAATTTATTATGGAAAACTTACCAAACACTGATCAGTCATCGCAAACAATTTTACTTCAAGAAGCTGTTAAACTTTGTTCACATTATCCCGTGCTTTTCAATGATAAATTAACAGATGTAATTAGGCAGAGAAATTTAAGTCAACAAAATCTTTTAGCAGGAGGACAAAAGTCAACTAACGGAAATGTCACAATTGTTAATCTAAATTCCGAAACTCAACTTTTATCACAACAAAATGCTTTTCTCATGTCAAAAATACTTATAAATCCAACTCAAAATGCAACAGCAGCATTAACGTCAACACCATCTGCTATCAACAATCAAAGTTCCATTCCAATTCCTTCAAATAGTTCTTCACAGCATTATTCTCGTCGTCCAAAATTCGGTGATTCTAGATCTACTGGTAGATTGAACAATGGAATTGGAAACAATAGTGCTCATCGTTCGATGACACGTTTAAGTGCTGTTGGAATTAACAACTCGAATCTTGGTGGTTTGCATAAGAGTATGACTCGTCTTTCTTCATCACAGCAAATCAATCAAGCGCAATATCCAGTGGGAAGCAGCTGTAATTCAAACAATGTTGTTGAGAATAATTATATTTCACCTACAATTCCACCCCCACTAAGTCATCATGTTACAATAACTGGAGAGAATAAATGGGGAATTCCGAGTACGAAAATAACATCATGTGGAGTCACAGTTAATCACACTTCACCAACTCGATACAGATCAGCATTACAAGGAGCTATTGCTATGGGATCGATAGAAAAATGTTCAACAAATGCGCTTAATCAATCAACAGGGTCAATAACTATGCAAAATAATAATATTTCTGTTCAACATGCAATGAGTTTGATTCCACAAATTTCCGCTTCTTCTTTAATTCCACCACCAGCGCCACCACTTTCTCCGCCTTTAGTAGCATCAGAAATGAGTAATCAAGTTGTTGTAAGTGGCCCAACTACCATCACATCAAGAACTAATAATCGAAGCAATAACAAATCAGTGACTTTATTAAATGCTAATAATGTTAATCATCGCATGAGTGTTTTTGAGCCATCAATGCGTGATACTATTCAACATTTTTGCGAGAAGCATTTAGATAAGATTAAAGGATATATGAAGACTGTAGCTCATCGTTTGCCACCACCAGCTAAATGCACAATAGAAGAACGTCGTGCAAAGAAATTCGCGAAACTTCATTTCGCATGTCAGGCCCGTGGAGATCATTGCTTGTATTCAAAAACATTTTTCAGTATGAGAACGCGTCATGCAAAAGTTTGGATTCATTTGATGTTTCTAGATCTGCAGTCACGTTCTGATCATGCTCTTAGCTCTTATGATAGCTGTGTATCAAGTTTAAAACATTGCTGGGATACTTTAAAGATAGAAAATCGCACATTCATCACATTAGTAACAAGCGCTTTTCCACCAATTCGTGAACAGGATGCGCTTATCAATGAACTTCGTAATTCAGGTTTTTTTGATGTCTTTGAGAATGGAAACAATAATAGTTTGAATAGTCTTGATGATGATGTTCGTTGGGGATGTTTTCTGTGAGTATCACATTTTTGAAATAAATTTCATTTTAATTAAATTTGTTTTATGTTTTAGCTGTAATCATCCAGAAAAAGCAGTGTTTCTGGAAAACAATTCTCAACCTGTTATTGAAGGACAACTCAAGGAAAAAAAAGGGAAATGGAGGCTTTTCAGACGTTGGCGAACACGCTACTTTACCTTATCAGGAGCACATCTATCATGCAAAGGATCGGTAAAAGGAAATTTTTAAAAGCTAATTATCTAAAAAATGCTGACAAATATTGTTCACATTTTAGAGCGGTGGTGATGCTTCAATAAACATCAATCAAATTCGATCAGTTAAAGTTTCTCGTGGAGCTAGGCATGTTCCTACATGTTTTGAAATATTCACTGGTAATCAGACTTTAATTCTGAAGCCAACTGATGGAGAAAAAGCTGAAGAATGGGTTCAGTTATTAATGGTTGTTGCTCAACATTCGCAAGCTCGAGACGGGTTTACAAAAAGTAATAGTCTACCATCTAGTGGTTCACGGCGAGAAAATAATTCAAGTTCGAGATCATAATTGAGAAATCAAGTCTGTTTTTTTTTACAAATTATTTAGGTACTACATGCATATTTTTTGTTATTTTGACACACATATCATTTTTATGACATAAAATGAGAATTCTTCATCGTCCTTTTGATGTCACAACATGTGTGATATCTTAATAAAAAAAAATTATAAAACCTCGATTTTCTAACAAAGCAAAAGTCGTTTTTCATTGACATCTATATAAATCTTAAAAATGTTCTATATGAATGATCGTTTAGAATAGATTAGTCAAATCGATCTAATAGTTAAAAAGTTATGAACGTTTTTTAGCATCAAATACAAATTTTCATCTCACGGCGCTAGAAAAATCTCACGGCGAATAAATGTACACTCTCCACCTGAAACTGCTTTCTGGATAGAGCAGTTTCAGGGCGAGAGTGTATAAAATCGACGTTACTTTCCATCAACTGGGCCCCCAGTTGAACAGATTTAAGCTATAATTCGTAAATAATTAGGTCCGTCTGAAAAAGATTTTTTAAGAATATTTGAACAGAATACGTAAGTTATAAACATCATTCTACTTTTAAACAAGGTTCACAACAATTTTTAATCTAAAATTTCTTTCAAGGAAAGTGAGTCAACTTAATTCACCCCACCCTTTGAGCAGAACCTGTTTAGTGAAATATTTTAAATACCTATCTGTTATCTGAATTCTGCAAAAACATTAGCATAATGAAAAACATCATCTTAACAACTGGATTACTTCTTGCAATGTTCCGTTCTGGTAAATATAATTTCTTTAATTAATATTTCTTCCAACTTAAAGATGTAAGCATTAAAGTTGTCATGGCATCGAACCCGAAGTATCAACAAATTTTAAAAATTTGATCAAGGAAGTGTTGTTCTTTCGTTTATTATTTCTGACTATAATTGAATATCTTTTATTATTTATTGACACTCTCAAAAATCCCCTCAAGTGATCCAGAAAAGAAATAAAAATTAATTTCGGAATAATTGTGATCGCATATTTTAATTATTGACACAATAGTGTTATCAATTCGATGTTATGCCTGCAATTCTTCTGACACATCGTCTCCATTCCAATGTGGTGAATATTTTGATCGATATGATAAGCCAGATGTTGATCTAAATGATTGTTCAAGCGTTCATGGAGCAAAATACTGCATTAAGCATATTGGAAGATTCGAAGGTTTGCAAAGTTATAAATTATGAATTATGTCAGAGGTGATGTGGTGACTAATAAACATTATTAATATAAATTATTAAAATCTTACAATCATTAATTAATCTTTAAGTTACACAAAATTAAAATCATCAATACTAATAAATAACAAATTTTCATCTAACAGTTCTAACAATAAAATGTTATCAATGCAAGTCGTCAGACACAATTGAATGTTCCGATGTAATGATCAATATGCATGATGCTAAATTGAAACCGGAGAAATGTGATCATGTCATTGGTGCAAAATATTGTATAAAATCAACATCATTAGAAAGTAAACCGCTCACTCATTTAGAAGTTTTTAACATGCATGTTTAGTTACAGATTTCGTTTATTATTTTAAGTTTCTTCATTTAGTATAACAATTCCGCATGAAATTAAAGATATCTTTATAATTAAATACTTTTAGGTGGAATAGGAGCGATACGTTATTGCTCTTCAAAGGATTTGGGAAATTATTGCAACTATGTTCAGAATAAAGGTGACCAAATGGAATATCGCTCTTGTATCTTCACCTGTGAATCCGATGGGTGTAACGAGGCTTCTAAAAAGCATTATTCCATCATTAGCATCGTATTTATATCGATTATAGCAATGCTTCTCTCACATTGAAGTAGCTCGTTTAAAACCAACCATTTCCGTCCACAGCCGTCCATAGACATAATTTTTTAAGCGAATTTAATTTTCGAAATAAAAAAAACATATATTTCTTAGAAAGACAAAATGATTTTCGTAACAAATTATTTATTTTCATGAAATCAAAATGATGGATAAAATATATTTGATGATCACTATTTACATGGTTCTATACACCAACTTAAGAAAGAAACTTTTGATAAAAGCTGAGCTTCTACAAACACTTTTTGAAAATTGTAAGAAGAAATTAAATTCCAACCTAAGCAGAAAAATTTAAAACAATTCAAATCATAACATTCATCAAAATGTATACAATGTGCGTAAAATTAAATATTTGTGAATTTAAAAATAGTTAAAAGAAAAGATATTAAGGGAACGTATTTTTAATGTATTTTTCAAACGAGCATTAATTGCACATATTTACGTAGATTTTTTATTTACAAGACAAATTTAAAGGATGCGTAAACGGATCAGAAAACTTCACAGTATAATTGCAAAACATCTTACTAAATACACCCAACACAGTTTATTGCAATACTATATGAATAGCGAATATAACATTTTGCCACCCAAGGTAGGTTTCAACTTAAATATTTACAGATTTAATAATGTCTCATACAAACTACATGTGTAATGAACTTTAATCTTTAAGAAACGAGCAGGTTAAGAAAAGCCATAAGCAATAATGTCCAAAAGGTTTGGGCAAAAATTTTAATAGATACTTTTTTAATTAGGTATGTATATTTGAAATAGCTTTTATCTTGCTTAAATATCATTTATGAATAACTACGCTTTTTGATTTGTATTTTACACACAAAGACAATTTCTTAGTGTGGAAAAATTATTGGAATCAATTTCAGATCTATTTCAAAAGGAACGCGAAGCAGTCGCAAGATCGTGATCAAGTGTTAACGCAAATTTTAATAATTTTTATCTGGAAATTTTATTAAACAATTCAAGTGAAGTCTTTAAATTCGGAAAGTGAAGATTGTAACAGAAATTAAATTTATAATATTTTATAAAGTTTCTCATAATCAGCTTATTTTTTAAAGTCATTTGACGTAGATATTTATTCAAGTAAAATATTTTCGATAGTGTGGAAGTTTTCTGAACAATTAGGTGTTAAAAAATATTTCCGAGAAGAAATTTATGAATCTTATCAAGTATTTAAAAACATGACATTTTTGATGAAGCGAATTGATCGAATTGTGGCATATATTTGAATTAGAGATAGTATGAATATCACTGAGAGACAACTTAATAGACCGAGATGGTCTGCTGCTGAAAGTCGAGAGGTATATTAATATTACATTCACATTTCAAATGTTTTTTTTTGCTTTTTCATGTATTGATTTTGTCGACATTCAAACACTGCAAATTGTGTCTTGGTGTAGTGTATGCTTACATGCGAAACTCTTCCTTTTTCTTACTCTGTTTCGTTCTGGTTCGAAACAACCCATAACTTCAAGAATCCAAAATGATGTATTTTATAAGGAATGGAAATATATTTTCATTCCAAAATGATTTGGGCTTTTTCTCTGCTATAGACTACGGGAAATTGTTCGTGATTTTCTAAAATCTGATTGGATTCTTTTTCCTGGAATAAGTAAATAATTTGAAAAGATAAAATTTCTTATAAATTTAAAGAATGAATAAATGAAAACACTTCATCGCGTTGGTTTATTAAATAAACAATGATTTGGGAAATATTGTAAATATTCCTTTTTCATCTTTTTTACTTTAACTCTTTTAACTAAAGTTGTATGTACACACGACGAATGTATTAAAATTTGCAGAGTGCAATTTACTTAAATGCTGTAAAACATGAATTGTTGGAAAGTGGCTATTTATAAAAACCGTGTAGGATTTGATTTTTTTATGCAGACTCTAAATTAAAATAAGAGAACATAATTAAAAGTTTACACCAAACATCATATGCCACTGTTTTTGACTGTTTCAAAACTTGAGTTACGACTACACTGGCAGTGATGTGTGTATTATAGAAAAATTATTTTGTAGCGATGTATTGTTGAAAATTTATTAAGTCAGTTTAAATGCTTTGTCTGAGCAGTTTGGTTGTAGTCTCTTCGAACGCCTTCCATTTTGATCAAAACAAAAAAAACGCCTTTTAAAACGCGAAAATTAAATTAACGAAGTATCCTTATTTATGTAAAACTTATTTTTTAATGAGCAAACGATTATTTTACTGCTATTCAATTGATCAAGTCTTTCTGTGGTGTAGAAAATTAGAAAATTGGTTGAAAAGATCTTAAAAGTTCACAGAACCTCAACAAAAAAAATGTAAAACTATTAATTCAGTATTTGTGGAATAAAAAACATTAAACTGATAATAAAAGTTTTTCCCCATTTCTGCATGCATATGTGTGAAAACGAATATAAAATAGAAACAAAGGTACAAATTTTAGCTGACTTGTGTTCAGCTGATGAGACACATATTATACACATTTAACGATAATACATTGATCTTTGAAAGACATTCTTCCAGGTGAGCGAATCGTTAGAATTTTCTTAAAACTTTAATTTCATTCTCACTATTTTTAACTGTCATTCCTTGAATCTTTTCATATGAACTGCAAATTCACTTCAATGAATTTTAAAAATCAAAACCCAAATTTTTTTTTTGATTATAAATCAAGTCTTAGTATTTTCTCTCTTTGTCTTATACTGAGAATTAAATTTTTACTAGTTTTATAAGAAAAAATATTTTTGAGAATTTCCTAGTGTGAAGATTTATGAGGTCCTTGACAACTACTAGATAGCGTGTTTCTTAAGCATATCTACGTATTTCAATGTGGAATAAATAAAGTTGCAGATTTTTTTTGAAAATAGTGTAAAAATTTAATTAGCTTTTAAATGTGTTTTACAATTAAATTAGAAAACAGATCGTAAAGAGAACAACAACAGAAAATACGAAGAAACTTTTTGTGCGCTGATTCTCATTGACGTTTTTCGCCTTTAAAATAATGGAAAAATCTAGGCAACATTTTCACTCTTTTTACTAGCGGAATAATATAAACAAATTTTGTACATGTGTGTGCTTATCCTGTTGTTTATATCATAAATATTTTTACGAAATCCCGATAAACAGTTTCAAAAGAAAATCTGACTATTCAACTTGATATTAATGTTGTAACATTTTTGGCAAAAATTAATGTTAAAGTTATGAATAGTTACGGAAGAAAGTGTTTATATATTAAAATAAATTCTCAGAAATCGGAAAGTTTTAAAAAATCCAATCGAATAAAAACCATTTATAAGCAAATATATGTGGACATGACTCACGAATTAAACAATGGTAACTTGAGTTTTAGTAATCATTTTCACACGAAAAAAGGTCTTTATTGATGACGCATATTTAAAACAACAAATTCACACAGCTTCAGTATGATGGTGAATATTGTTCTGGTATTTTTTAAAAAAGAATGATGCATGTTTAAAAGTTCGCAATATCTATAAATTGTATGATAACGAAAAGTGAAGTTTTTTTCTATACCATCATAATTTGTCATCTTTTTTTTTTCTTTCAGATGTCACACTTGCCTGAATCTATAATTGTTAACAAAACACCAGACAACATGTCTTCAGAAATGATATCAATGTTAGAAAATTTCAATAAAAAGAAGCCTTTGAACTCTTCGACTTCATCAACACCGAACACTTTATCTACAAATAGTTTATCATCTCGAAAGAATCTTTTAAATTCATCTAGCAATACGTCATCGTCAGTATCAAAATCATCACAAGTGAGTTCTTTAACACTTAAAATATTTTTTTGATCTCCTTTTAATAAATACATTAGACTGTCCGTTATCTCCAAAAGGAAAATCAAAACTGAAAAATATTTAATTCCGAGTGAGAAAACGGATTTAAAAAAAAGTTTTCCATTGACATCAGATTTTTCTCAAATATTATTTTGAGTATTCTCAGAGCAGTTAAAAGTAAAATATTTTTAAGTACAAATGACGACGTGGTAAAAACGGAAAAAAATACGCATTCATTTCACGATTCTCTAGCTCTATTAGGCTCAGTTGATTTTCAACTTTCGAACGATCAAGTCTTTTAAGCGTAAGAAGCCGCGTGGGTCTCATATCGCAAACGAACGAGAAGAAATAATTGTTAAACGATAAAAACAAAAACAAAAATAGTCGACGAAACATAAAGAGAGAATACTTTCTAGATAATTACAGACTTTTCAAGTTATTAAAGGACGATATAAATAATATGAAAAGTGATTTAAAAAACGACAAGAAGAAGAAAATGGTGAGTGAGATACTCCGAGCATACTTCGTTAACTGTCAATGATTTAAGGTATCTCAGAGTTCTTATTGCGAGACATTTCTTTGAATCACCTCGATCGTCATGATGAGTATCAAGTGAATCATCGCTTTAAAAAGTTACTTCAGTCTTTTTCAAATAGCTTTCATTGCTCATATTTAGTTAGCTTCTAAAATTAAAATTATCATTCGAAGAAAAAAAGTAAATTTAAGCAATTGTAATTAATTTTTTTAAAAATTGAATTAAGTAGGACAAAATCACTTTGCAAGTATCAATTCTTTCGTTTTTTTTTTCCTTTTTCAATTTGTGAATCAATTAGGTATGTTGAGTAATTAAAATCTTAACTTTTACTAATCTGTAAGATCGATGATGATCACGTTGGTAAAAACAGATATCATACTAAAAGTTGAGAAAAATCTTGCAAAGACCAGATTTGACACTTTTATATGCACACAAAATATGTGTAGGCGTTTTTCTTCGAATCAGTCAATTTAACAACCTGAAACTTCTCTTTTTGGAAACAGAGGAAATCGTCAAAATATTTAAAAGTTATTCACTACCAACATATGGATAAAAAATTACCTAAGTAGATATCTAACAATACACGCGTCGTCTTTTTTTTGACATGACCTTGAGATATCATCAGAAGTTTAAGAAATGATGAAATAAAAAGTGAACATGTATGCAATAGAAGTTCTGAAAACGACAATAATAACATTGTTTATTCATTTATAAATAACTTTGTAGGTATTAAATAGTTCGTCAACTACAACTTCACGTGTGGCGAAAACAACTTCTTCACAACGTCTCCACCATATAACAGCTAGTAGTTCTTCATCATCACAATCTCAACTATCGACAGCATCATCAGGAAATGTTGTGAATCCACATGCGCTTAAGAGAGACCTCAATGAATTTAAGAATTCGATGAGCGAAATTAACAATTTAGCAGCCCGTGCTAATCAAATGTCTGAGTTACAAAAAAGGTTTGTCAATAACAGTAACAATTATGCGTGGACAATTTTTGATTGATGTTTCATTCCTAGAATTCGATCGTCAATGGAAAATCTTGTTGACAGTCCATCTTCCGAAGGATTGGTCACTTTCCCTGATGACCCACAAGAAAATGATTTACAATTGGAACTCCCATCAGAAACTTCGTTACAATCATCACCGGTGAATACTTTAAACAGTTCCGACACTGTTAAATTTCAACAGAAGCGAACAATGAATTCATCAAAGACTAAGATTCTGGGTAATGGTTTCAGTAGTGAACAGGTAAGTTTTATTTTTCCTACCATCATTATTGACAACTAATTCTTATTTATGATTTTAGGCAACAACAAACGCCGCAGAGATCAAAGAACTTCAAGCCGGTGACTTGAATTTTAAGGAGGCAAAGAGTGTAGCAGCGATGAGAAATAGAATGGAAGTTGATGGTTTAAAGACCGAGGAAGCAAATGCTGTTCTGCAGGTATGTTCGATTCTTTTGTTTATATTTTCACTTTCATTGTTGTGTAAATTACTTCGTAAAATCTACGAAAAAAAATCCACCTCTCGCAGTCACATTGCTAATTTATAACTTCGTAAAAGTCTTCAACAGTTTGAATTTCAAACAAAATATCATATAACTCTGAGTTTGCGCGTCAAAAAGCCATAAAAAGGATACGTCATTACATAAATATTCTTTTTGTGTTCCACACAAATTCCAAGTTTGTAGTTTTTTCCTTTAGTACTTTGCAACATCAAAGAAAAAAGGTTCTTAAATTTCTTATTCCTTCCAAAAAGTTCTACATTTCTTTTTTATTTTAGTTATAGCTTAGTAAAGTTTCTAAAAAAGCTTTTACACTAAAAAGTGTAATAAGTTTGTCGAAACCTTTAATTATACCTAATTGAAAAAAATTATGATTATTGGTTCATTTGTTCTTCGATGCATAAAAGTAACTTCAAGAACATTTCGAGCAGTCGGTTATCTTAATATTCAAAGAACAAAAGCATTTAATCATTTTAAAAATATTAAAAATATTAAAGTAAGTTGTTTGTTATCTTTATCTTAAATTTATTTTTGTTGTATTTTTTAATTGACATTTTTTGTCATAAATTGTTACGAGTTTTAACTTTAAAAAAAAAAACAACGCAATATATCGATTTGTGAACTATAGTCGGGAAAAGTGACGAAAACAGCAAACACTAATGAATAGAAATGAAACCGACGAACAATACATAAGCAAATTTCGTCGGATACAAATTTAATATCGTGTTCATATATTTAGTCACACTATGTAGTTTTCGTCTCGCATAAAGATTTTCTTTTTAATTTTAAATATAGAACATAGAAAAGATTTTTCTCTCATCATCTGTTATAGGAAAATTCGAAAATTTCCTTTACTCACTCACAGATTTCAATAGTATTTCAAATATAGAGCACTTCATAAAATTTGTCTGAAATTTTTGAATTGTAGTTTAAAAAATAAGAACATAATTCGTGAAGCTAGAGTTTGAAATTTAAACACCAAAAAATGTCGAATGATGGTTCAAGTTATAAACCGTGGAAAGTTCGCAAAGGAATTTTCAAATCTACTGGAACTTCTGATTACACAGTTGAACCGAGAAACACTCCTAGTCCAGTAATCGATTTTCCGATGTCCCCAACGTCAGCGACTCCAACAATGACACCTTGTTCACCTCTAAGTCCAACGACAAGTCCACATATAATAGTTATTGAGAATCGACCTTCGCCTCCCCTTACACAACCGAACACTCCTACTATTCGTCTAAAAATACGCGAAATTCCGGTAATGAGTTCATAAATAAAAAGATACGGAGATATTAATAATTTATAAACCCCTTAAAATTAACTTTTTTATGTGTGCTGATAACAAAGAATTAATATAAAAAATGAAGTTTGCTCTAAACAAAATGAAAGAATTTTTTTTTCTTCATCTTCAAACCAGCAGCGGTGGTAGCTGAAAAAAAAATATAATTGAGTAGATCTGTTTATTTTTTCTTACATTTATTCTCAGTTTTGTTTAAGAAAGATCTCTTCTTACTTACCTCGTCGAAAAATATTATTACGATAGATATCTCTTTTGACTGACGCACAGTTATTTTCATTTCACACACATAAATAATTTTGATGTTTTGAGCGCTTGGAAAATTCTAATTTTTGTTCCTCTTTTTTTATTTTGTCGAATGAATAAGATAATGAAAATAGATTTTGTTTAATCTTATTTCATATTTTCAATCTTTATAGGAAGCGCGATTAATCAAAGCAGGAGAGTTTCAGCAGAACGATACAAACAACGTTGAAGCGTCAAGTTTTAAAGTTCAGCATGAACAATTCAGTGCTGAAAAGCGAGCTATAAAGCAAGCCCAACAAAGTCAAACTAAAACATCAACGGGTACATTCAATCAAGAGCAGATTCATCACAAATCTCAAATGTCGTATAATAGCAGTAGCATGGTAACGCAGTCATCCCAATACAGCACTTCTAGTCTCACGAGTAATTGGGATGGTGAAATGTTACAAAACTTTGAAGATTTGGAGAAGCTCTGCTCTTCCAGTAATCCCTTGGATGTTGAACAAGCAATCTTAAAGTATTCACAGCATGTCAACAATTGCGTACGACAAATGAGTTTGGCAAAAACTCCCAGCGTTCTTGATAATTTAAATGAAATTATTCGACGTGCATGGGCAGTTCCCACTCATGGTCATGAGCTCGGTGCTAATTTATGTAATGCATTAAAGCAAAATGGAGGTTTAGATCTTTTGATGAAGAATTGCATGGAGGGAGATAAAGAACTTCAGTTCTCTTCAGCAAGACTACTCGAACAATGTTTGACGACGGAAAATCGAGCACATGTCGTTGAGAATGGTCTCGATAAAGTCGTGAATGTCGCGTGTGTCTGTACAAGAAATGCGAAAACTGATCATTCACGTGTTGGCACTGGAATCCTGGAACATCTTTTTAAACATAGCGAAGGAACGTGTAGTGATGTCATTCGACTAGGTGGTCTCGATGCTGTACTTTTTGAATGCCGAAAAAATGATGTTGAAACATTACGTCATTGTGCAGGCGCTTTAGCGAATCTATCGTTATATGGTGGAGCGGAGAATCAAGAAGCAATGATCAATCGTAAAGTTCCCATGTGGCTATTTCCATTAGCTTTTCATGACGATGACAACATCAAATATTATGCTTGTTTGGCGATAGCAGTTCTAGTCGCTAATAAAGAAATTGAAGCTGAAGTGTTGAAGTCAGGCACGTTGGATCTTGTGGAACCTTTCGTAACAACTCACAATCCATATGAGTTCGCAAAATCGAACTTGGCACATGCTCATGGACAAAGCAAGCATTGGTTACAGCGACTGGTGCCTGTGCTTAGCTCGAAGAGAGAAGAAGCAAGAAATTTGGCGAGTTTTCATTTCTGTATGGAAGCTGGCATTAAAAAGCAGCAGGGAAACACAGAAATCTTCCGTGAAATTGGTGCCATTGAACCTTTGAAAAAGGTAGCAAGTTGTCCCAATGCCATTGCATCAAAATTCGCTGCTCAAGCATTGCGTTTGATAGGTGAAGCCGTTCCACATAAGCTTTCACAGCAAGTACCATTATGGTCAGTGGAAGATGTCCGAGAATGGGTGAAACAAATAGGATTCGGCGAATACGAACATAATTTCTTTGATTCAAAAGTTGATGGCGATCTGTTGCTTCAATTAACTGAAATAAACTTAAAAGAAGACCTTGGAATATTCAATGGAATTCGTCGTAAACGTTTTGAACGAGAACTTCAAAATTTAAAGAAAATGGCAGACTATTCGTCAAGAGATTCTACAAATCTTAACACATTCTTACTTCAAATTGGTCCAGAATATTCAATCTACACATATTCAATGTTAAATGCTGGTGTTGATAAAGATTCTATTCGTATTCTTAATGACGATCAATTGCTTGCTGAATGTGGCATTTCCAATTCAATTCATCGATCAAGAATCTTGAACATTCTCTCAGGAATGGAGAGTGCTATAGGACCAACAAATGAAGATTGTCCTGACAAGACACTCGATGTCTTTGTTTCTTATCGTCGCAGTAATGGTTCTCAATTAGCTAGCCTATTGAAAGTTCATTTACAATTGCGTGGATTTAGTGTCTTCATTGATGTTGAGAGACTTGAAGCAGGAAAATTCGATAACAATCTTCTTCAAAGTATCAAACAAGCAAAACATTTCTTGTTGGTTCTAACACCTCGTGCATTGGAACGATGTATTGAAGATGCTGAATGTAAAGATTGGGTTCATCGTGTAAGTTATTCAAATTCAATTGCTTCGTATATTTTCTATTTTTTTTTACTTTTAAATGATGAACAAACAGGAAATTGTAGCAGCCTTAAATGCAAACTGCAACATTATTCCTATTATTGATAATTTTTCATGGCCAGAACCAGAAAAACTTCCTGAAGATATGCGAAGTGTGTGCCATTTTAATGGAGTTAGATGGATTCATGACTATCAAGATGCATGTGTGGATAAACTTGAAAGGTAAATTGCAACAGCAATCAGCAGAGTCTTGATATCTAAACAAAATATAATTTATTATAGATTCATGCGTGGTGAACTCAACATTCGAAACGAATATCGAAATGCTTTGAATCGTGCCGGTCTTGACATCACAGCACCATCGACACCTGGTACAGCATCTTCAATGAGAAGCAACCCTCCAAGTTATCAACGAATGCACAGCAATGATTCTAACAAAGCTAATGACAGCAAAGATGGAATAAGTAATGGACGAATATCGGATTGACTAGATAACCCCTCCGCTGTACATGCGTCTGGTGTTGTTGGTGCACCCAAAAAATACTTATGTATCTCAAATCGTTTTAGGAGAGCTTCAAATCCAACTCTAAATAAGCACCAATTCTCAACATCACAGCATCCACATAGTAGAATTGCATCTCCATTAAGTCACCAGAATCGCTATTCACATACACGCCAGAATATTAGAAAAAATTCAGCTTTACCTCCGCTTCCCCCAATTCGTGTTACCAGCAGTAATCGCACTCAAAGCTTAGATGGCCTTTTGGATTCATATGATAATTTTCAATGGCCGAGAAACGTTAAAGACAGTGTTACAAATAATGTTACAGCAGAGGGATCCGTTACAAAGAATCCAGATGATAACTCATCGGAAACGAATACAAATAATAATAACAGAAATAATGAAAGCAGAGCCGATAATAGAAATAAAAACAATCGAAGATCAAAAAGTCTCGATGATCTTCTTGATGATGAAGTTCTGTTAATTGTTGAAGATGATTGTGGAACTAAAAGTATGGAAAATATTCATGGAAGTGTAGATATGAAGATTGCCGGTGCTGCTGCTGTTGCTAATTCTTCTGATGATGTTCCCGTCCCATCTGACAAAAGTCATATTTTGTCGGATGATTCCAAAGATTCGATCTTAATGATGCAAACAGATTCAGAGACCGACAATGACACTTCTCATAATGATTCAGGTATTCAAAGCAACCAAAATATTTCTTCAACATCACAATCCATGAAAAGTCATTTAGATCAAGATTTTGATGATCTTGATTCAGATGATAAAGTTTCAAATACGATCTCACTCACATCATCATCAGCTTCAGAGAAAAAACCTGAAAAGAAATTCCTCAACAAATGTGTTAAAAAGATCAAAAGTATAATCAAAAAGTGAACCCAGAAAAGCTTCATTATCTATTTAAAAACTTGCACAACGAGATATTTAAATGTATGAAACAAGCCGATACCTTGCAATTCTATTTTTTAAAGTTTCTTCGTTTCTTGTGAATTGTTTAACTCGCAAGTTTAGTGAGTAAAGATAAATTATTGATGATGAAATTATTAAATAATATATGTATTAAATATATAAAGCAAAGCAAGCAATAGGCAGACAATGTGCATTGTTTGATTAGATGTATGTATAAAAGCTTGCTGCAACAAGTGATTTAAATTAAGTTACTAATTTTCCGTACCTGTTCATGTTTTACCTTATTTTAACCACTGACACCTTTCGTTTAGATAAAAAAAAGTGGAACTTCATCTATTTAACTATTTATCGAAATTATTTAAGTCATGAAAAAGTAAAATTTTCTACCAAGCTTTTTACTCAGTTAAATTAAATTTCATTTAAGTAAAAAAGAAAAAAGTTATTCATTAGAGTAGTTCTACATGTAACAAAGCTTGACACATTGCTAGGAATCTGCATTCAATGCCTGGCAAATTTCTAACAATTTTATAAATTATCCTATAATAAATAAAAGGAAAAATATGAAAAATCAATTGAAAACCTGCAGCTTTATTTAATTCTTCAATTTAATACAAAACGAATCAAAATTGATCATCAAAATCCATACTTTCTGCAGCTTGTAAAATGTATTTTCTATATAAACTCATGAAATGAGCAACAAACGCTTCAAGATGGTAGATTTGTTTGCTTCCAAGTTGCATTCTATGTTCATATAAACTGGCTAACTTCAAAGTTTCCGCTTTAAGTTCTGTTTCGCAACTGTTCGTGAAATTAACGACAAGACCTTTAAAAATGACATTCGGTGGAATTCCTTGCGACAAAAGTTCATAAAGTCTCTCACGAATTTGCGCTAACTTTTGAGGACTTTGTTCTTGAATAACTTGATGTGCAGTTTCGTTCAGATATTTCTCCCAATCAACTTGAGGAACTTCTTGTGTTTTTGTAAATGGATATTTTTGAACTTTGCAAGCTTCCAACATTAAAATTGCTCTACGAAGATTTCGATCTGATTTGGAGGCAATTTCTGCTGCAAGTTCTTTGGGAAGCTGAAGATTTTCCTTTTGACAAATCAACTAAAACACATGACAAAAGATGATATAATAAAGATCTGGTAATATTTAATTTAATATCCTTACATTCAAAATATTGATGATTTCTTCTTTTGTTGGTGCGGCGACTCCTATACCAAGGCAACGACTTTTGATTGCTGGAATAACACGAGATGTTGAGTTTACGCAAAGTATCAGACGACAAGTTGCAACATATTTTTCCATTGTTCTTCTTAAGGCATGCTGTGCATCTTTTGTAAGCTCGTCAACCTCTGACAAAACAATCACTTTAAATTCACGCTGTCCACTTGGATCAATAATATTTGTCTGAGCTATTTGTTTAATTATATCGCTGATAACAACTCGATCATAAATTCCCGCATCAGAAGGATTAACTAGAAATTTGATATTTAGAAATTACTGGTTGAATATCTCGATATTAATTATCCTAACCTTCGATATGATAATTACTTGCCACTGTTGTGATTTCTATCTTTCGACCTGATGGAGCTGTGAAAGTTAAAGTTTCACTTCTCAGTTTTTCTACATTCGGTCCATAAAGTTCTCGCAGTAAGCACATGATTCTTGTTTTCTTTCCTGTTATTACAATAGGTAGAAAGTTCAAAAACAATTAAAAATTTTCTTCTTACCGGCACTGTTTGGTCCAAAAAATAACAAATGAGGAAAATCTTGTTGTTCACAGAGTCTTTTTAAATCATTTGCTTGCTGGATATGATAGTTGAGTTTACTTAGTTCTCTAGGACGATATTTGTCAACCCATAAAGCCATTTTAAATTTATTTAGAAGAAAATTTTCGCAATTTATTTACGTCGGAAATGTCTACAAAATGTCTACAAATTCTGAGCGCGCGAAAAGTGAATGCGTTTAGAATTCTGATGTTTCTACAAATTTTCAAAAGCTCTTCAGCAAAAGCTTTAATAATAGAAGCAAAAAGCTTAATTAAACTCTTAAACTTTATTTTCTTAAAATATTTGTTTTATATACATTGGGAAAAAATGTTTATCTTTTATTATCTAAAATGTTTTCTTTATCTACATTTTTGTTTGGTGATGCTAACATGATGTTAAAAAAACGAAAGTAGGAAGGAAGAAAAAAGAACGTTGAATAAATTCATCGCGATGGGTTCTAAAATTTTCTATAAATTACGAACGTCGTCACTTTTATCGTAATCATTAGAGTATTTTCAGGCAAAGGCATAAAATTATGAATGTGCTTTATAAAAGAATTTGTGAAGTTAAGAATCCTAAATATTCGATTTTCAACAGAAAATAAATTTGGTTAAGTTTCTTATTCCGAAGTTATTGAATTTAGTAAATCAATTTAATTGATTTTTATAATCCATGATGAAATGTTGAATCTAATATACTTATCCCGGACTGAAGATTGATCCTATATGCCTTGAGAGTCAAAGATTGAACATAATTTTAAGTATAGATATTAAATTTCAGCAAATTTTAGACATTGATTTGGAAAGTTTCACGCTGAAATTTTTGATTGCCACGTACGCGTGGTGAACTTGAAGTCTTTTCTCGTTTCTCAAATGACGTGTCACCATTGACATTATCAGAGAATCTTGTTGGTGGGCCGATTTCGGTGTACGTGTTTGGATACTTTGCTATGCTACAAAAGAAATGATAAATTTCAGTATTTTGAACCAAATATGAGAATTTCAATTAATGTACCTAAAAGACGTCTCCTCGTTGTGACTTGAATAGCCACTAGAACTTCTTACATGTCTTTTCATTATGGCTGAAGATCTAGCTGATTTTCGTGATGGATACGATTGTTTATGCAATGTTGATAAATTCGTTGGAGAGTTTTCTGATGATGAAGACGTATCTTCGATATTTTCTTTGAATCAAAAAAATAATTTCAATTCTTTCATTTAAATTAATTATAAAAACTTCCTACCTCTTTTTGATTTATGTTTACCTTTCTTCAATGATTTTGCTGACCACTCATTATCAGATTCAGAGCCTAATGTATCATATTCTGTGATCGGTATATGAAGAGTAAGAATCTTTCGAACTTCTGAATCTGTTGAACCTGGATTATCTGATTCAAGATACTGAATGTCTTGAGAGTCTGAGCTTTTCAGTCGAGAACCAGAACGACGAACTTTTGTATATTCTGGCTCCTTTGTCTGCTTGAAAACGTTGTATTTTAAGAATGGTCATATAAAATATAAACTAAAAAGAATAATTACTCTGTGACTATCACTCTTATTTCCATGATAAACAAATGAACCTCGAACCGAATGGTAGGGACCACTATAAACATTTCCGCTGTAAGAACTTTCGCTGTATGTTTGCTTGTTTAATTGGAAAGTTGCATAAGGGCACAAATCTTCGATGTACTCTGAAATATTTTTTATAGATAATTGTTAAATTATTTATCTAATTAAATTTATTTCATTACCATTTCCATCGATTTTATATTTATTAGCTTCTATTGAGTTAAGATTTAAGTTATTGTTATGAATTCTAGCAACGGGATAATTAAGATCACTATTATTCTTGCACATGATGTTTGCAATCGATGAAGGCTCAGGTTGCATTGATCTTAAAACATTATTTTGTTCTGTAGCTTCTGTAAATAATATTATAATAAGAATTAATTAGGAAAACGAAAAAATTTCTATTGAAATTTTCAAACTTTTTTTTCTGATTATCAGAATGGCTGCTATTAAGCCGAATAGAATGAATAATGACAGCAATACGGGGATGATTATTTTTCTGTTCGCAGTGATGTAGCTGTGTTCATTTGCCTCAATTACATTATGATCGATGCTGTTATATGTCACTAAAAGAAGTTGAAATATTAGAATTTTCAAAAGTTGTCAACAAATTGTGAAAGTTCTTACAGCCCTGAGCTGTAAGTGTTGTAAAATCGTAAATCGCAGTAGTAGAACCTGCATTGTTATGAGCTGTTAATTTAAGTTGATATTTAGTAGCTGGCAAGAGATCTGTCACTGTGAATATTCGTTCAGTCGATGACACATGATTTGATATCATATTCCAATTCAATCGTCCAAAAATACGACATTCGATAACAAAGTACGATATACCGCAACCTCCATCACCCCATGAATCGAGCCAACATGTAACTGTCGTTGAATTATTTGTAATCATTTGTGAATGCTTTGGTTGAACTGGAACGAGTCCTTTTGTTTGTGTGTTCACAATCTCACATGGAAGACCCGTTCCAATCTTATTAAAAGCTGTGATATAAAGTTGATATTTGGTGCCACACAAGAGATTTTTGAGAAGGTGCGAATTCTTCTTTGAATCGACTTGTAGCTCTTCCCAATCTCCGCTATCTTTCTTAAAGTTAATTACATAGCCAAGGATTAATGTTCCGCCATTTTTACTGTTTGACCATTGCAACATTAAACTATCGCTGAAAATATCTACGACTGTTAATGATGGTGGATCGGGTGGAACGAAAACTTTAATTGTGTAAACTATTTCATCTCTTCCCCAAGTGTTTTCGACAGTACAAGTATAATTAGCTTCATCTGTTCTCTGACAATCCCGAATGAATAATGTTCCATTTTTGACGATGAACTTCTTGGAATTGGATTCAATTGGCACAGTGTCTTGTCGCCAAATTGTGCTGGGGGAAGGTACGCCTACTTTCTTACATGCTAACGATACATCTTCTTTCCATGGTGTGTTAATTACTTGTCCAAATGAGACAATTCGAGCTGGAACTTTGTTGTTCGGTGCGACTTCCACCACATTGGTTTTTTCTCCTTCACCAACTTTTGTTGATGCTGTCACCCAAAATTGATAAGTTGCTTGTTCTTGTAGCCTTTGACTTTCATACTGCTCAACATTTGGTCCCAAAACTCTCTTATGAGTTCCTTCATCTCGACCACCTTCCACGACACTCATGTAAAATGTGTAGCCCGTCTGGAAGATAAATTATCTGAATACTTATACGAAATAATTAAATAAATTTAAATTAACATACAATTTCTCCATTTTTTTGCTTTGGAGGTAACCATGACACGATGATCTTGGTGCTTGACGAAGGAATTGCTTTTATTTTTTGAGGTGCACTTGGAACTGTTAAAATCATCAAGTTTAAAAATATATTCAGTGCGATTTATTTAAGAATCAAATTAAAAATAATTATCTACAAAAGTATAAAATTATATTATGATAGAACTAAGCAAACTAAAGAAATTCTCATTTACCATCTTCATAAGTTGTACAATGAAATTTTTTAGTTTTAACACCGTCACCAACAATTGTGAATGAGAGAACAGTTATTGTATAATTTGTATGTTTCCTAGCATTGTCAATGGTATAGTATTGATTTGTTGTCGAAACGATTGTTGGTTCTTTTGCATGATAATCATCTTCAGCAACGAAAGCTATTTTATAACCGCGAATATTTCCATTCTGTCCATCTTTTCTTGGTGGTGACCAAGTTACATAAATGGAATTTGAACTTAACACGTCACATTTTGGATTTTCTGGTGGTAGAGATGGAACTGAAAAGGAAGTTTGAATCTCTGCAATAAGGTATTGAATAAATATTCTTACCATCTTCTATTGTGCTTATAATGAGTTCCTTGGATGTAGGTCCGCTACCCTGACTTGTATATGCTTGAACAATGATTTTATATGCAGAGAATTTCTTCAAACCAGTAAGCATTACTTCTCCACCAAAGTGAGATTGAACCTCAACTGTTTTGAAAAAATATCCGGCATCTGGTGAAGTGTCAGCAGCTTTAGTAAGGTTATCAACTAATTGATAACCAACATAATAGCCAAGCAGGTTTCCATTCCATTTTTCTCTCTCAGGAGAATCCCATGAAGCATGAATCTCAGTAGAGCTTTGCGTTTTTGCTTTAACATTGGTTGGTGGTCCTGAAGGGACTTCCTCAAGAGTCGTCACTTGAATAATTTCTGAATAATCTGATGATCCGAATTTATTCTCGGCTGCAATTCTTACATGATAAGCTTTCGCTGGTTGAAGATTCGAAATTGTTGCTTGCAAACGACTACCAGTAACATGCGATTTGTCAGCTTTTTGCCAGTTATCGGAAATGGATTTATATTGAATCACATATTCTTCTATTGGGCTATTACCACTGAAAGGAACGTTCCAAGAAATTTGAATGTTTCGGGATTGTTGTGAATTTAAATGAACATTCTTTGGAATTTCTGGAACTTCTTGCACAATCAATTGAATAATAAGATCATCTTGACCAAATGCATTATTAGCCATACAAACATATGTGCCAGAATCTTGTCGATAAGTATGAGAAATTCCCAATTCCGAAATCATTCCATTGTCAAGATCTTGCTTTCTAACTGAAAAACGTGTATCAGTTGTTTCATCGATGAATTGTTGGGAATTTTGAATTTTCCACTTCACTTCAATTGGCGTGTCGCCAGCAATATTGCATTGTAAGTGGACTTGTTTTCCTTTCGCTATGTATATTTGCTTACTTCGTTCTGTGAAGTGAACTGGCATATTCACTTTCAAGAATATCACTTTACTAATGCCAGACCCAACACCATTCTTAGCATCACATAAATAATAACCTTGAGAAGCTTTTGTTACCTTCTTAAAATACAACGAACCATTACTTTGTAAAGAAATATTTGGTTCAAATAAAAAATCTCTATAATCAACAGGACTTTTTCCAAAGGATTTTTTCCACGTTATTGTTGGTGCCGGATAACCATCAGCTTGACAATTCAGCGTAGCATCTAAATTAGCTTGAACGTTTGTATCTTTCGGTTCCACTAACCATTTCGGTGGGACATTAACAGTTAATGGCACTGTAAACTTCTCCGAACCTGCCACATTACTTGCTATACAAGTGTAGTTTCCAGAGTTGCCGGATGTTATCTTCTCAATAAGAAGACTTGTTATGTATTCATCAATGCGTCGAATAACTTCATTTCCTGTACCAAGAATTTGTTTTCCATTTCTCTCCCAACGAAATGAGACTGGCAAATCTCCTTCCAATATTTGACATGATATTGCTGCACGCATCCCTTCTCTTAACATATTTGTCATTGACTGTATTGGCATAATTTTTGGTGGCACCAGAATTTGAATTTCAACATTTCGTCGAAAGGTTTGATTCTGTTTATTTTGTGTCATGCATGTATAAGTTCCTGCATCTTCACTTCGTTGAAGTTGTTCAATTAATAGTGTTCCATTGCTGTACGATGTTTGCCGTCGATTAACTGGCAACAAATGCCCATCTGCAATAAATTATCTCTTTCAATTTATAGCCTTTGTAGAAGAAAGAAAAGATTTGTTAATTTGTACCTCGCTCCCAACGAATACTTTCGATTGGAAATCCAGCAACTGGGCATTTCACAATCAGATCAGTTGCGGATACCCATGTAAGTTTTGGCATTTCTCTAATGAAAGGAATGCCATAAACATTCACTTGTGCACTATGACCTACCCTTGAAAAAGATAAATGAAGCATTATTATGAAGCATGTTAAGAATTTTGATTTTATCTCTCCTTACTTCCCGATGTTGTTTCGTGCTATACATGCGTATTCGCCACCATCTTCTACTTTGATATTTGAAATATTTAGATGAGATATGACATCGTCATGTACTGTGACGTATTGTCCAATCAGAAACCGTGAACTTTCAGGAATCTAGAGACGAGAATAAAAAACATAAGTTTGTTATGAGTTTTAAAATATTTTAATTTAAGAGTGAACAGAAATAAAAAAGGAAAAGTTTTTACTGGAAATCCGTCAAGTTTCCATTCAAATTGCGGCGGTGGATGACCAGTCGCCACACACTTTAGTGAAACAGTTGGACCTGGCTGAAGTGTTTGTTCTGAAAACCAATATAAAAGTTCTGGCGTTGCATCTCCTAGTTGAAGCTCAGCAGTTGATTGAAGTTCTTCCCATTCATTAGATATGAAACATTGATACATTCCCTGATCTTCTTTTTGAACCTTTTTGAGCACTAATCGAGAAGGGTCAACATTAATCTCCACACGACCGTCAGCAATAAGTGGCTTTCCATTATGCATCCATAAAACTTTTCCCACAGGAAAACCACTGATGATGCATTGAAACTCTGCATTCTTATCTACATCGACAACTTGATTTTGAGGCTGAAGATGAACAGAAAGTGGAGCAGTTACTGTGAGAGTTATTTGAATTGTCTCTTCACCAGCACTATTATTCACCCAACATAAATATTTACCACTATCTTCAATTTTAACTTTGGAAATTTTTAAAAGTCCTTCACTCATCATATAAATTCTGTCGTTCATTTGGATGGGAAAAAGTTGATCGCTCAGTTCTTTAAACCATTTGTAACTTGGAGGTGGATGGCCTTGTGCAATGCATGGGAGAACAATTTGACCATTAGCATTAACATTCTTTGACACTTGTTTCTCTGCATTAATTCGAGGCTGAACGTAGCCTTTGGGTTCGGTAACAATAATTCTTCCCGGATATGCACTCATTTGAATTTCTCCAGTTAAATGATGAACTGTTCGGCATTCATAAGTAGTGTGAGCATCATTTGGACCGGCATTTGTAATATACAAATCACCATTCTCCAAAACACTGTACTTTCCACCCATTTCAGTGTTCGGATAAAGGTGAAGCCCATTATTTTGAATCCATTCTGTAACACTAACATATTCAGATACAAAACTTGGCACTTTGCATTTCAGCACAGCAGTATTGCCAGAAATAACATATTCATCGTGAACTTGCACAGAAAATTTTTGATTGATAACTAATTAAAATTGAAAAACAAAACATAGAAAACTAAATTGATTTTCAGTTCAAATATTAAATTCTTATGAATTATTTACCAGCCTTGACATGAACTTCTCTACTTATTATAGTTCCTACTAAATTTTTCAATTTACATCTGTTGAAGAGTTATGAGATTTTAAAGGAAATCTGGAAACGATTTTTATTCTTAATTTATGTTACCTATAAACCGAAGCGTGTACATCATGTCGATATTTTTCCACAGCAAACGGATAAAAAACAAGTGTGCCGTTTGAAAGGACTTTTAGTAAATCATGATTATGAACCGGTGGTGACCATTCAACCTAAATTAAATTTTTATATTTTAAAGTCTATCAAAATAATGACAAATTTTACCTCAGGATAAGGATTTGCATGTCCTGAACAATGAATTTGCCCTCCTGTGTTATTTGAGAATTCAATTTTATGTGCTGGTTCATGAACGAAAATTGGACCTTGCAAGTCTATTGATGTGGTGTCTTTATCGTTTATTTAAAATAAAATATAATTAAATATCTTATTGTATTGGGTATTTACCACAAGAGATTTTTTCGAGAAATTTACTCGACGAATTTTATCAATTCATTTATTTCATTTTTATGAAATAGACTCACAGATATATGAAAATTTGATATCTTATTGTATGCTTAAATCAAATAGACGTACCTCGTATGAAACTCAGTAATAATAATTTTAGGGCTATTAAGGCCTCCTGGCCACTTACACCCATTTTCATTTCTAATTGTTGTGAACATTAGTTTCGTTCATTTCGTTTATTAGTTATCGTCGATTCCATATTATTATTTTATGATATCGTGTGGGAAATCGATATGTGATGAAAGTAGAATAATGATAAGACTGAAATTAAGAATAAATGATCATTGAAGCAAGATTTTCTATGAAATATTTGTTAAAGAGACCACATTCATTCATATCCCAACAACATAAAGCATGTGTAATTTAATTTTAAAGCAAAATTTATAAATATTTTTTTATAAAGACTCTCTCGGAAAGTTTAGATACTTTCATCCCATGAGATAAGTTCAAAAATCGAACACTTTAAATTTCCATTCAACATTTGGTTCTCCATTTGAATTATCTTCACATATTCTCTCTTATCTCTCCACTCTTTGTTTCTATATTGACTTTGCATCATTTATCACTATCTATCAGTATTAATAGAGAAAATTCCAATGCATAGATCTCACCTCAAATATTTTCCTTTTCTTATCGTTTAACAGAGTTATTAATTTTCAAAATGTAAAAATATGAACTCAACTTCTCACGTTCACTTCCAAAAGTGTCATGAGAGTTTGGATAAATAATTCATAAAAAAATGTTGATTAGAATAGTTATCGCTCTTTGGCAAACATAAAATTATGTATTTCTTTAGGCTTTTTAATTTCAATTTTTTTTTATTAAACTTTTATTACAAAAGGAAATATTTCTTCATTTTCCGTTTTTATTATAACTAATTGTCCATAACTAATTTTTCAGGATGTAACTTGAGACAATATTATCTACTTTTTCATAGACCTTTGCTGAGTGCAAAGAATTTATGAATATTTCGTCAAATGTCTTTGAGTTTCCGAGATGAATGAATAATAAGCTCAAAAATAAAGTGAGAGATTTTAGACCAACACTTTATTTATCTCTGACAAATATAATCAATGTGAAAGTTTGTTTAAAAGGATTTTTAATATGAAATTTTGAAGTGAACTGCGAACGCAAAACTTCCAAGGAGTTTTCTTTTCAATTTTTCATCACTTTTTCAACACAATATTTTATATCTATTAAAGTTTTCACATTAAACTCAATTTCTCTTGAACTTAACACTTCTATTTGTTTGTCTTTTGATGTAAAAAATGTAAGATAAAAATCAACTATCTTCAATCGAAATCTAATTAATTCCTTCTTTCCATATTATTTAAAAATATTTTTCATTAAATCTTCAACAATCACAAAACATACGTAAATGAAAGAAAAAATAAGATTTAAATACTCTGATATAAGTCAATCTTTTTTCCTTCTTTTTCAATCCTCCTCAACTTTTAGTTACATTCTTTTTTTTTGATAAGTCGCTTATTTTTTGTCATGCCGGCACAAGCAGTGATCTGACTATGAAAAAATGACGGGCTTTTGTGAGAAAAAATACGGAGAAATATTCGAGTTACACAATAATTATCGATTCTAAACAGCATCCAATGCGCAATCGCATTCGTTTTTCTTCGAGGCAAACTTCAGTTAAAAGCTGAATGTTGTTTTAAAAAGCTTTGAGAAATGCTAATAATAAAAATATTTTCACCACTGATTTGATTACACTGCTCATAAACTTAATTTTATTTCTTTTCATTTATGAGAAAGCCAGCGAAGTTGAAACATGAAAATTTAAATGAATTCAATTATAATTGTGAAGCTTATTGCGCCATTCCATGATACCACCGTTTTCTCATTTTTATCAATGAAAGCTTGAATATTTGTAAAGTTTACTTTCTATAGAATACTATTAATAGTACTATGTGTGTGATTTTTTTTTTTTGTTTTTTGTTTCAAACTGAAAATTTCTCTCATGCTAGGTAGGAAGATTTGAAATAACAGTTTCGCATAAAATTACCAAATTAAGTTACATGAACGTAAACAAAACCATATCTTCTCCTACAATACGTTCTATGTTTCAAATATTTTTATAACTAGATAAATCTATTTGCATAAATGTACCGCAATTCTTAAAAGAAAGAAAATTGTTTACATGCTTAAATAACATCTGAAAGTAAATTTCAATATAAACTTCAGCAAAAAATTTTTTTATCATTTAATTTATGAAACATTTTAAATTTGACATTTATTTCATATTTTATTTATAATACTAAAGAACTCCAATAGAAGGATAAAGTTTCTAAAAAGACATAAAGAAACAACTAAAAAATACGTAAACAGTTTTTTTAAAAAATGAAGAAAGATTTAAAAAACGGCTTTTAATAGCCCCGATGTCCACATTGGCTACCATGTTGATGATATCTCGAGTTTGACGATTGATAAGCGTTTCTTGAATTCGATGCGGAACCATAGGAATCAGGATAAGTAAACGTGTAACTTTCTCTTGCTGGAGAATGAATAACATCAGCACTCACAACTCGATCATTTTGATTTGGTGGTATGAATAATCTTTCAATAAGTTCAACTAATTTTCCTTTATTAGCATGAATAGGCGTGTTATCTTGAAGTAATCCACGTAAGAAAGCTTCATTCGACTGTCCTCTGCCATTATTAAACTGTCCGTTCCTATTTTGTGGTTGATTTTGTTGATATTGATTACCATTCGAAATTCTTCTCTCAGCGTTTTGATTTTGTCCAAAGTTTTGAGGTCTAAACGGCTGAGGTTGTTGAGGTTGCTGATAAGATCTGTTTGGATGATAATTATTTTTTTGTTGGTGATGATTATAATGTTGTCCATTATTGTTTTGTTGTGATCCTTGTTGAGGTCGTTGTTCAGCGTTAAGTTGTTGATAACGTGACTGAGATGCACTTGATGGGGATTGTTGGAATGGAGTTGAGGGTTGTGCATATGACTGTTGAGTAGGTGCTGCTGCTGCTGCTGCTGCTGCTGGTTGTTGGAATCTTGAAGGTGAAGTATATGTTGATTGTTGTGGATATGACTGAGGTTGAGCTGATGGTTGTTGAGATGGAGACGGGTAGTCTGATGATTTGTAATTATTCGTTTTTGGCGCAGATTGTGTTTGAGCTGTAGGTCCATAGACATGAGGTGCTTCATATTTAGGACTCTTTTCAGCTAACTGTGTGTTGATCTCTCCAGTATGTTGAGGTTGCACTCCTTGGAATCCATTGACGTTTTGTGGTTGTCTGTTATGTGGATAAGTGTAAAGTTGTTTATTTTGTTCGTTGGTGTATGGAGGTAAATATTTGTCATCTGAGCCAAATGCTGATGGATCAACAGGTTCTGAAAGATCTTCCGATCCACGAGTTGGTGCATTATGCCCCGGAAAACCAAAGCTGTAGCTGTTACCAATACCTTTAAGTGTTTCAAATGAGTTACTTGGTATTCTATTATCTTGATCATATGTCGAGTCTCTGTCAGGTTTTAAAATAAATGATTTTTTAGGATCAAATCCTGAATCACTGTCAGTTGACAATTGTCCTAAGCTGTTAACATAAACTGTCCCACCATTAGTTCCTCTCTGTGGTCCGCCATTGAGGTCACCCCCATTTCTAGGTCCATTTTGTGTACCAGATCCACTCCCAGGAGATGTAGCGAAGGATGGACTTGTAGGAAGATTGATTGAACCGGAAATTGGTTGACCAAGATTTGAAGTACCCCGTGATGGTGAATTACCATTGATTCCTAATTGCGTCCCAAGTTCTCTTGGATATTCACTGTAAATGTCATTGCCACCAGTGAAGCTAGGAGTTTGTTGAGGAAACATAATGATTTCTCTTGCAGAAGTCATCAGTTCACTCTTTGGTAATGAGGCCATCGTATCGCCAATAAGTTCATTCAATTTATAAAAGTTCTCACTGTTTTGACAGTTGACATTCTTATACCAATCACATACGAAAAATTCTAAATAATTAATGAAAAATAAAAAATTTAAAATTATTTTCAATGATTTCAATGCTTCACCTTGATTGAAAAGAGTTCCATTTGGACATAAAAATGCAAAACCTTTTGCTGTATCATTCGCAGTATTTGCACACACTCGGAAAACTTGACATCTCGCTTCAATATCAGCATAATATCCTTAAATAGAAGGTACAGAGAGAATTTGAATTCTGATTAATTATTTTAAGAAAACTTTTAAAATTCCACCTCCTGGTCGACCATCGCATGAGAATGCAGTGTCTGGTATTTCACTAAGAATTGGGTAATCTCGATCGGGTTCTCCTGGTATGGCATCTGCCAATGTATAAACACGATCGGATGTGCTTTCGCCATTTCTGTTTGGAGTTAAAGTTCTTGACGAATCATAAAATTTATTTTTATATAAAATTAATCACCTTTTTGTACGCATAGAACGTAACCAAGTCATAAGACTTCTTCCGCTTTTCGTATTCATTCTTGTTGCTGACACTGAGCATAGTATTGCCAGCAGAACAATTCCGATACCTAAAAATAGATAAATAAATAAAATATTAAGCTTTCATCTTTGTTCTTATAAAATACTACGCGATATGAAGATGTTCGAATGCATTTTCCAACGATCATTGAATCTTAAATTAATTTGGCACATATTTATGTCTATTTTATTTCCTATTTTGAAAGTATAAATATCAAATAGATACTTATGAACACATGTTTAGATAGCGGTATCAACCGAAATCTTTAAGATCAACAAATCTACGTCTTAAAAAAATTTGTTCTTTGTAGATTCTTAAAATAACAGATCATTGAATATCTATTTATTTAAAATTTTATTCAGTGTTTGCTGCGATTCAACTTTTTAAATCGTTTATCCACGTTTTAAAACTCGAAATCGGATATAACATTTGAATTGGTTTACCGATATATTCCAATCATTAATATAATGCTTCTTCAGAGTCTAAAAAAGTATATCAAGACAAAAGTATTCAAACCTTATAAATGATACCTCACATTAAAAAATTCAAGGTTAATTAAATTAATTAATGAACCTTTCAATGAAACGACCCTTAAACGAATACAGTTGTAAAGACCTTCTGAACTAGTTTTTCATCTCCAAAAAAAAATCATTTCAAAGATACTCAAATTTTCTTAAAAATATAAAATCATTAAAAAACTTTTTCGAAAAAGAAAGAAAACACCTGGTAGAAAATATAGTTTTGTGTACGGAAATATCTGTTGATGTTTTCAAAGATGCGAATTTAGACACAGAAACCCCAAAAATAAAAGTTTGCATAGATGACCTGCTTAAAATTTTTGTTAGCGATTTTTAATAGTTTAATTCTAATATATTTTATGATAATTCTTTCAAAGTGAATCTAATTTCTTTCGATGTTTATTGTCAATTTTTTACACCAAGCGCCGCTTTGACAATGATGAACGCGAGTGAAGAAGACACGAGACAAATATCGAATTATAATTATTTATCAAATGTGAAGAAGCGGATATGATTTACATAATTTTATCCATATTAATACGACAACTTGTTGTTGGCTGTGTGCCGCTTTTTCTAGAACTAGTTTTTGTGTTCCTCTTCATCAACTAAAATCAACTATTTATTGAGTTTTGCGGCATGATTATTTCTTTTGATTTTCGACATGTACATATGTACGCTACCTCTCGCGATCAGCCCGGATATCATAAACGATTATTTTCGCAAGAACGTCTCGGAAAAAAATCTTCGCAAAGAAATTAATTTAATAGCTGAATTATTTATTTATATCTGATGACACGCTAAATTGTTTGACATGAATTTATTAGACGTTATTACTGTTATTTAATATTAAATAAATGACAACATTTTTATAAGACAATTTAAACTATTGTTGTACCAATTATTATTTTATTTCGTTGTAATTATCAACGAATAATTTAAGAACTCAATAAAGATTTTGGATAATAAATAATAAAAGCATATGAACTTTAAAGTTTTAAAAACAGATTTAATATTATGCTGATTCGGATTCTGATTTCTGGTACCATTCAATCATTAAGTTTCTCTAATTTCTTTGCGGAAAAAAGTGTGACCAAAGAGCCATAAATATTTTATGGTGATATATAATCAGATAATCAAAAACATCGTTTAAAGAGTTGTTCCTCAAAGCATGTTCTTTTACAATCAGAAAATATCTGTTTGAATTTTAACCGCGGCCAAGGCTTTGAAATGATAACTTTAAATATATTTTTGAAGTCTTAATGTGACAAACGGGATATGAAAACTTTGGTGTGGCTTTTCTCAAGATGATTAAAAGAACTTTTAGATTACTAAAATCACAATTTGTCAGATTTGAAATTTACGACATTATTGGGTGAGTTAAAAATGTCAACAGTAAATTAGTTCTCATGCTGTGATAACTCTCGCAAAAGACCTCTTTAAAAGCGTGCCAGCTATTATGATCAAGCAAACAGCAAACACTTAAATTGTGAAAAGGTTAAAGTTTCCGTTATTTCTTCATCCTATTTACTGCTTACTACTTTAAAATTCTATTCCTGACCTTAGTTACTTTTATCATCATTTTCATATTTTCCGGTTAAGTATTTAAGATATTTCAAGATCAGCAAGATTAAGCAGTATTGTCAAAAATTATGAAGCGGAAAATTAGTAGCCAAACATATCTTAATTTTGTTTAAAGACTTTATCTCAATATATTCACAGATTTTTAGCAACCGCTTGGGTCAAAACATCACACGAAAAAAAATGATAATCAACTTAAATAATGGGAAATGATTAAAAGATATTTAATGAATCTCTCTCCAAAACCAGTGACTTGTTTCGAGTTTACTGTTAAAAATAGATTTTAGTCAACCTAACTGTTTGGACAAAAACCTTTTTTTTTAATATTTCAATCAACAAGAATTGTTTGAATATTTATCTAATTTAAATTTTAAGTTTGATATTATGCGAAAAAAATACAAAATCATATGAATTCGGAAATTAAAATTTTTATTCATGTAGGTTGTAAAAATTTCGCGATAATTTAGATTGTCACAAAGATAGCCATTCATGTGATACCCATAAGGAAACGATTTTACAAGCGACTATCGCACTATATTGAAAATCTTAGTAAATCGTACGAGTCATTCTTATTTCTATCATAAAAAAATGTAGCCAAAAATATTCTTAATTCATATTTTTAAAACAGGAGCTTCTTACCTAATCGGTGGATCTTAGCGTTAATCATATCTCTTTATCCAACTATCACCTTTCTCTCTATATTTTCAAATATGCTTGATATATACCAAACTAACGTTCCTAGCAATCACGTTGAGATATCTAGTGTTTGAAATTTATTAAAAATATCCTTTTAGGCCACTACGATTTAGTAAGTTTGGTTAAATGAACTTGTGAATTGTTTAACAGAAACTATTTAACATCTCCTTAAGTTTCTATTTCAACTGAATTTGTTTCTTTTAATTATCAATAAACTCAATGATAAAAACTTTTTCAACGAATTATATTTCTCGTAGATTCGTATACAATTTATTTTAACTAAATATTTATATCAGGAGAGTTTTTATTCCCATGTCCTATCGACTTGGTGTCTATTTCTCGACTAATATTTGTATATTACTGAAGATTGCATATAGCCATTTTCTGATAAAACTCTTTCGAGTTTTTTTGAAATCGAAAAATAGAAATATACTTTTAAACATATGTTTATATTTGTCTGTTTGCTCGTGGATGATTGGAACGTGAATGATGAAAAACTACATCAACCAAAATTTTGACAATTCACAGACGCCAAATGAAAAAGAAAAAAGAATTAAATTATATCTCGCACACGCTTACGGATTTTGATTGAAACACGATTAATCTGTTTTTTTTTTTGAGACTGAAAGTGTTAAATAGAATTTATTTAAATCTAAGTCTAATAGTATCTTACCTCGGCTTTCTGGATTTAAAATAATTTGAAGGTTCACGATATTCACTGAAATGTCGTAAAGACGAAAGCATTTACTTGTTTGATAACAACAAGATATTTATTTCCCTTCAACAAATGGAAAGATTCCGGGATCAATATTCTTTTGGAATTTAGATAGTACAATTTATTCTTGGCTAGATCCGTGTGTTATCTAGTAGGAGTAGAATAAAAAAAAGAAAATTTCCAGACGCTTAACCGTTTTTTTTTGGGTAGCTTTAGGAAAAGCTTTGCCGTTTATATCCGTGAATGCTTTATAAAGTGATAGATAATCGATCAAAAAATATTGAGAAGATAAAACGTATATAAAGGGGCACTTCAGTATATTTAATAAGCTTTGTCTAATAACTCAATAAGGCTTCGAGGGCGTTTCTTATAAACCGGACATCACTGAATATTTCTTCAGAAAACAAATATGAAAACACTAAATTGGCAGCATATTTAATTTAATTAACATCTTTCGACCTTTAACATAAATGCAAATAATTTGAAAGAATTTTTTATCTCAATTTTCAACATTTAATACGACGTTTAAATTTAAATATCTAATAAAGTTTCACATTGTTAATTAAGTTATTAGAAGAAGAAAGAAAATAAGAACTTAATATTTTATTATTTTACAATTTTTTTAAGTTTTCAAATGTAGACATGAATCAATATTTCATTTCATAAAATCTTCTTTGACATTCTCTAGACAAACTAAGCTTTTAATTCATGCGATAGATATTTAAATGAATTATTGGATTTAATGCAAATTATTTAGATTTAAAAGCTTTTATTTTTAGCTAAGTTTTCAGTTACTAATAATATTACTGCTAAATGGTTTTCGAGGTCTGCAATCATCATTTCCATGTCAACACATTAGTGTAGAGTTTGATAAAATCTCGATGGTCAAGGCTTTCTTGCTGGAAGCATTGATTTTCTATTTTTCTGTGTTCAAAGCGTTAATGAATTCTTCCAACTTCTCTTGAATGTGTCGCACTCGAACTTAATTAATTGAGAGAATAAATTAATTTAAATATGATACTAAAAATATGGTTAAAAAAAATCCAAACTTACTCAATTCTTCAGCAAGAAGAACGCGTTTTCCAGTTAGAAGTTGAATTTTCTTTTCTTCGTCTTCACCAAACTCATCTGGAATTCATCATCATAATAATTTTTTTTTTATTAATTATTAAATCTTTTTCTTTACCTAAAACTTGTTTTATTTCTTTATCAACACGTCTTGCTTCGCGGTTGACAATCTGTTGACGGAGTGCATTTGATGTTACTTTCATTACTTGTTGAATACGCCAGAATAGTACAACATCACTGCAATTTATCTAAAAAATATTTTAATTAATAAGTTATGCAAAACGAGAAATTATTTTTACTCACTTCAAAATTCCCATTTTGTTGAGTATAAAGATAATAAGCTTTTCGTAAGTCATAAGCTCTTGATAAAGCATGTTTCAAGAAATGACGTCGATAAATTGGATACCAAGTCTCTCTTATGTAATCAGTTTCGACTTCAACATTGTTTCTTTGTAGATTCTTTCTAACTGTCGTGAGTTCATCATAACTCAAAGTTGGTGGATGTTTTTGATCACTGTTTACGATTTTATCCAACTCTCCTTTCACACTGTTTCTTTTATTTTGATCATCAGTAGACGATTGCCAATGCAACCATCTTTCACTTAACGATGGTCCGAACATCTCATGAATTGTTTTCTCTGTCATTTTCATCTTTTCTTTGACGGAATTTTCAAAAAACTTTACAGCTTGATCCCATTCCTGTTTGTCGTGGACATTTCTATCTTCCAATGTATTCAATTGGATGACACGTAACATATCGATTGCTTTGTCTTCCCAGGAATGTCTTTTCATGGCTTCGTCAATGACTGCTGATTTGAGGTTGTCGAAAACATCGTCATGTTGTGGATTCTTTGGAGATTTCGCTACTAAATCAGCAAACTCATCTTGTAAAGTTTCCCAACCAGCTTCGACACTTTTGGATGGCAAAACTTCTTCAGCCCATTGTCGAAGTTTTATATCAATCATCGTATTGAAGGAATTCTCAGATCCCGATTGCGCTGCTGGTAAGTAAATGTTTTCAAACACATAACTTGAGATTTTGTCCCAAAGCGTTACATTCAATAATTCTTCCCACTTCTTCGAGCTTACTTGTGATAAATTAACAACTTCATCAAGAATTTCTCCTTTCGCTTTGTCAAACAATTCATCACGACCAGCTTCACGGATTCTTGAGAAATTATTCTTCCATTCTGTTTCAAGATTAAATCTTGTAGCTTTAAAAGCATCGGCTTGTTGTTCTACTGTTTCGCGCACCATTTTCCAAAACCGATCAGCAACAGCTAAACTTAAATTACGTGAAGTCACTTGATGCGATATTGTTATTCCACTTTNTTGTCGCGATGTCGTGTACATCTCCAAGTCGAAATACTGTGGAATGCTCAACAAATTGATAAGCTTTTCATTTTCAGCGCTATATTTATCCAATAAATATGGCAGAGTTTGAATAAAATGTTCTGTAAGCTTCGATTTATCATCTTGAACTTGTTTGATCTCTTTGGCTGAGAGAGTTTTTTTCGATTACTTCCACGACCAACTGGTGGTTCACCTAATGCGACTTGCTTCACTGCACTCACCATGATCTCCATTAATGATGACTCTTGTTTGTTATCCATGACTTCTTCGTTTGGTCCCGTTTCTTCAAGTAAGAGATCAGTCATACATTCCCAATCTTTGATCATCGGATTGTTCTCAATGAAAGCATCAACTAAATAAGCGCCGTGTTCATGAAGTTCCGATTCAATGAAGAACTGAACCAAGTCACGAATGAGTGGAGTGTTTTATATTCGTTTCTTTCCACGACGTGTGTAAGATTCAACTGTTGGGTTAATAAAGAATAATCTAACGTTTAAAAATTCAACAGCAGCTTGTGCAACACCACGATGCGATGAATAAACAAGTTCGTAGACAATTTCGCAATCTTTATCTGTGAGAATGTCTTGATGTATCTTCAGAATTTTAATGACCAGCTTTACAGCGGGAACCGCAACTTCATATTCTTTATCCAATGTCATAGCAACAATTCGATCTTTAAATTTCGATGTGACAAGTTCGAGTTTACTTTTCAATTCCTCATTTTCATACAATGGCAGTAATGCTTGTAAACATCGTAATCGAACATCGCCAACTTCATCATGAAATGTCCATCCAATATATTTCAAATAAGAATCATCTAAGAAATTTGATGAGAATTTCTGCATCCAAATTCCAATTTCAGTCATACAAATTGCACGAATTTCTGGCAATGTATCACGATATCGATGAACGAGAACCGATTTGAAAAGATATGTGAGCATGTTTTTTAATCTCGTCCATGTTCTCTCTAACTCTTGTCGTTTAGCAAGTAAACTTTCAATTCGATCTTCCGACACATCATGTGCTGGTTTCAATCTTTCACCGTCGTATTGACGATGAGCATTATCAAAATTTATTGCTACGAGAAGTGCGACGTCGACTAAAGCTGTCATCAATTTCATTGCGGCAAGTGTTGCTGTATGTCTAAAAGCACGAACTTGAGAATCCGACAATCCAGTTAACAACGAAATGACATTGTCCATTAAGAACTGGTCGTAGATTATTGAATACTGACATCGCTTGGTAAGTGACTAAACGAAGTCACAAAAAATGACTTTTAAACTTTTTCCATTGTTGTCCAGCCATAATCAGCGGATATTCTCCGCTTTCCTCATCAAACTCTTCCGTCATTTTTCTGATTATTGTTGTGTACTCCATTGATGATTGCATTTCTGGTGTTATTTTTCCTTTACATCCGCTTGCATTGATGAAAAAATTGCATTAAAGCAATTAACGCTGTTTCACGATCAATCTTGTAATTATCAATCCACTCGTCTACAATTTTAGTTATAGTATTTTTCGAATAACGAAGAATCCAAAACAAACTGCTTTCATCAGTTGTAATCTCTCGTTCACGGACAACACGTTCTTCTGCTGGCTCTTGATGTTTTGGTTCACTAATCTACTAAGAATAAATTTTTTAAGACGTCGATAAATTGGATACCAAGTCTCTCTTATGTAATCAGTTTCGACTTCAACATTGTTTCTTTGTAGATTCTTTCTAACTGTCGTGAGTTCATCATAACTCAAAGTTGGTGGATGTTTTTGATCACTGTTTACGATTTTATCCAACTCTCCTTTCACACTGTTTCTTTTATTTTGATCATCAGTAGACGATTGCCAATGCAACCATCTTTCACTTAACGATGGTCCGAACATCTCATGAATTGTTTTCTCTGTCATTTTCATCTTTTCTTTGACGGAATTTTCAAAAAACTTTACAGCTTGATCCCATTCCTGTTTGTCGTGGACATTTCTATCTTCCAATGTATTCAATTGGATGACACGTAACATATCGATTGCTTTGTCTTCCCAGGAATGTCTTTTCATGGCTTCGTCAATGACTGCTGATTTGAGGTTGTCGAAAACATCGTCATGTTGTGGATTTTTTTGAGATTTCGCTACTAAATCAGCAAACTCATCTTGTAAAGTTTCCCAACCAGCTTCGACACTTTTGGATGGCAAAACTTCTTCAGCCCATTGTCGAAGTTTTTTATCAATCATCGTATTGAAGGAATTCTCAGATCCCGATTGCGCTGCTGGTAAGTAAATGTTTTCAAACACATAACTTGAGATTTTGTCCCAAAGCGTTACATTCAATAATTCTTCCCACTTCTTCGAGCTTACTTGTGATAAATTAACAACTTCATCAAGAATTTCTCCTTTCGCTTTGTCAAACAATTCATCACGACCAGCTTCACGGATTCTTGGGAAATTATTTTTCCATTCTGTTTCAAGATTAAATCTTGTAGCTTTAAAAGCATCGGCTTGCTGTTCTACTGTTTCGCGCACCATTTTCCAAAACCGATCAGCAACAGCTAAACTTAAATTACGTGAAGTCACTTGATGCGACATTGTTATTCCACTTTGAAACAATCTTGAATTCTTAAAGAAATTTTCTTCATAATCGCGAATTGTTTCAATCGAATCGTCTTTTCTTCCACGTCCAGTAACAACCGCAAAATATCCCAAAGCTTTCATGGGAAACAATTTTCCACTTAAAATTCTCCTTATTCTATCAGGTTCCGCTAAGTTCTCAGCCATATCCACTTTTGTCAGTACAAAAATTGTTCTTTTGCCCAAAGGATCGCATTGTGATACTAAATCTGTGACATTGCTGCGTTCAGCATCAACTGATCCATCTTGAATACATAAAATAATTGCATTTGGGTTACTCATGTAATGTTTGGTCATCATTTTGATCGAATCTTTAGTATTAGCTGCCATATCTACTGTTTGAGTAGAAATGATGCCTGATAAGTCGACTAGAACCATTCGTTGTATTCCCGGACCTTTTACTGTCATTGATATGACATCATTGCTGACTGTTTTGCCACCTCTAACAGAATTTCGCATTCTTATTTCAACTTCACGCCGTAATTCAGATAATTCACTTTCTTTTGTTAAATCAAATTCACGATCAGAGTCTCGAAATTGTGCGACATGATAGGGACCTTCGGAAAGTGTCACTTTAACAGGAGCTCTCGTCATCATTTCACCACTTCCTCGAGGAAAAATACGAGCTTGAGCTATAGATTCTAAGACTGACGTCTTACCGCTACTTTGGTCACCTACAATAACTACACGACGGAGATGATCTGCTGTTGAATAACTTGTATCATAACCAGAAAGTTGTCTAAGTTACCTTTTCAATTCAATCTTCTAAAGTGTATCCTGTAAGCGGGAAACATAGAAACTTTTATCATTACATTGGTTTAAAACACATTGTCTGAACACAACCTCAAAATTTTCAATCGATTCTATTACATTTTCTTATTTCTTTTACCCTTAAACAATCCTTTTTCTTGAAATTTCATGCTGAAACTATTCTTTTTACAAACTTTCATGCCTAAGCAATTCTTTTTTTCTAGAACTTTCATGCCGAAGCAATCCTTTCTCAAACTTTCATGACTAAGCATTCCTTTTACAATTATTTCATTCAAAACAAGCTTTCATGCCAAAGCAATCCCTCTCTCAACTCACTTTCATGCCGAAGCAGTCCACTTTTATCCATTCAATGACATATTATTCGATTTAAATCAAAAAAATTTCATCATTTGAAAAAAATAATTTTGGCCGAAAAAAGTCGATTTTCACGCGTCTTTCAAATAATTCCACTTTAACTTACCTCTAAAACTTGTTTTTTACCCGTGTCACCAATGTTCCGGCTAATAAAACACTTGAATTAACGTTATAAATCGTATTCTTTTATTTGTTGCGTCCATCCAGTTCGGCGCCTAAACGTTAACTGAACTGAACCGGTTCTAACCGGTACAAATCCCACGACCTAATTTACTTTCAGTAAAGTATCGATTACATTGAATGTTGTTAATAATGTTGAGTTCAACTTTCATAAGTTCATTTGAAGATCTACCAGCAGTTTCTGTGTAGCCCCATCCAGTTGCTATCGTTTTTGTTGTGTTGATGTTTATCGTTTGCCAAAGACAAGCTGGTCGAATATATTTTGTAAAACTATTAAAGAAGAAAATGAAAAAAGGAAGAACAAAAATTAAGAGAAAACTAAACTTACTCAACTCGTTGTGCCATCTTTATCAACGCGATGTCATTGTAAAAAGAACTTCTTCGATAATCTTCATGAGCTATAAATTCAGCTATTGCTATANTTCCGATCTACTTCCTCGAGGAAAAATACGAGCTTGAGCTATAGATTCTAAGACTGACGTCTTACCGCTACTTTGGTCACCTACAACAACTACACGAGGGAGATGATCTGCTGTTGAATAACTTGTATCATAACCAGAAAGTTCATCAAGAACTTCTGAATACATATCAATCAATGACTTCTTTATCTTCTTTGTTGTAGTTTTTCGATTTGCCTTCATCAACAAAAATTGTTGACGTAAATCACGATTCTCTCGTTCCAGTTTTTCAAGTTCTTTTTGGTATTTGATTTGACCTGCCATAATTTCTGTTTGAAGCTGATCAATTTGTTTTTGAAGCATATCATTTTTCCTTTTGTAATCTTCTTGTCGCTCTTTTGCAAGTACTACGGGCTTTGAAATTATAACATCAGTTTTAAGGTCTGAAATATTTAAAAGAAGGCAAGTAATTAATTAAGTAGAAATATGTTTATTCAAGAATGATTTGTGATGATTTATTTACCTTCTATGAAATTTATGAAATGCACCAATAATTTGTGATACCCTAAAGTGTTGTGTTATAGAGAAGGGAGAGAAGGAAAAGTGTTCACAATCATTCTTGAATATAATCTAAAACTTTAGAAGAAAAAGAAAACAAATCCTACTTTCTCCTTTTTCATTTTGCTCCTCGTCTGCAGCTTCAATGGCATTATCAAGTCTATTGTCGAACCAACGTCGCCATTCATCCATTTTATCCTCGCCTAATTTCTTTAATTGTGGATCTTGAATAAAAAAAAAGGAATACTGCAACATTAGAAAGACAAACCCTTAAAAAAAAGTTACCAATTTCAATAGAATCTTTGATTTTCGCTGTCATAGAAATAACTCCATTTGAAAACTTCTGCCATTGTTCATTATCAGGAAAAACTTCATTCAACCAGGCCATATCAGGAAGTCCATCCTTCCATTCCTCATATTTCTTTAGAATATTTCAAATTAATTTTTGACACTAATAAACACTCTACTATAAGATACCTTGTTCATTGTCATTGTTCCACCAACAGCACCGCCTAAAAGAATATATCGAAGTTTCAAAGCACCTCGTAATACTCGAGCAACAAGCATTCCATAATTTCGACGTCCAATGGGAAAGTGTTTTTGTGGTGTTTCTAGGAATTTTTTAAGTTTCAAGTTTCTATGATGATTCCATTGATGTTTTCCACTTAAAATGGAATAATTAAGTCGGGAAGCATTTATTGTTAAAGGCTTAATAATTCCAGGCTTAAATGAACGAGAAATATAAATTATCCTGAAAATCATGGAAAAAGAAATTTGTTACGAAATAGAAAAATAATCAATACGCGAATTGACATATATCAAAGAACTCACTTTGAATTTCTTCTGAGTATATGAGACATATTTAATGCAATACTTTTGACTACAACGTTTATTTTTTATCCTTTCAAATGTTTGTGAATTTTATTCCATTTTTTATTTTTTGTGGTAGATGCAGCGGAAAATTACAAAAGATGCGGAAATTTTTGGTTTTATTCATTTGATGTGTCTTGGGTGTTGTTGCTTTCGAGGTTTGCTTCTTGGAATTTGTTTTCCTTTAAAAGAATGAAACGCCGGATGAATGAGTCCAAAGAGATTGAATTAAAAAATCGTTTCACATGTTAAAAAATTGCTATGTTTCACCATCTTAAAGTTATAAATGTTGTTACTTCTTTTTTCACTTTTATTTTTTGAATAATTTTTATAGAAAAAAATGACAAAACTTATTTCCACAATTTCTTGATAGACATATTTTTTTCCGAGTCCTTCTGCATGATCTTGGATACTGCCATTTCAAAGTCTTCTTGATTGACATGAACTCGACGTTCACGAAGAGCATACATTCCAGCTTCAGTACAAACACCTTTAACTTCAGCTCCGCTTGCACCTGGCATTAATTCAGCGATTTTCTTTAAATTTATGCCACGAGTGAGATTCATCTTGCGGGAATGAATCTTGAGAATATCTAAACGAGCATCTTCATTCGGTGGAGGGAATTCAATTTTACGATCAATTCTTCCAGGACGAAGCAATGCAGGATCTAAAATATCAATGCGATTTGTTGCCATAATAACTTTGATGTTTTTCGTTGCCTCAAATCCATCAAGTTGATTCAATAATTCCAACATTGTTCGTTGTACTTCTGAATCTCCACCGCTCCCAGATTCAATACGAGATGATCCAATCGAGTCAATTTCATCCATGAAAATAATTGAAGGTGCATGTTCACGAGCCATGACGAATAGCTCACGAACCATTCTTGAACCTTCACCAATAAATTTCTGAACCAATTCAGATCCCGACACTCTTATAAAGGTGCACTCTGTATGATGAGCCACAGCTCTTGCAAGAAGAGTTTTTCCTGTACCTGGTGGTCCATAAAGCAAAACTCCTTTTGGTTGTGCAATACCTAACGCATCAAATAATTCTGGATGTTTAACTGGCAACTCAATAACTTCTTTAATCTCCTTAATTTGTTTATCAAGTCCACCGACCATTTCGTAGGTTGAGTCAGGAACTTTTTCCACCATCATTAAGGAAACCAAAGGATCGACCTTGTTGGGTAAAATTTTGTGTAAAGTGTAACTTTCGTTACGAAGTGCAACACGACAATTTGGAGTGACATCATTGATATCAATGTTTTTGTCAACATCAACAACAAATTTTCCCTCTGGATGTACTTTTACAAGAACTTTCTTTTTGTCCATTGGTTTGACTACTTCACCTACATAGCTTCCTTGTTCTTGTAACAACTGCAATTCTTCACGAAGCATTCGAACTGGAACAAAAAGGAAGAAATAAATAATGGGAAGTTTTGAAAATTCAAAGTATTTGTACCTTTAGCATTAAGCTCGTTACGTTGAGCTTGCAGACGTCGTAAGTTTTGACCTTTCTCATTAACAATAAGTTGAAGTTCTTCAATCTTCTGGATATAGTATGAACGAAAACCTTCGCCTTTCGAACAATCAACATCCATCTAAATACAAGAAATTCCCATTACAATTACATAATTTCCTGTTTCAAGTTTATTCACCTTTGAAGACGCAGTCATGATTTTAATTATTTTAGTGATATTGTTCTTGAAAAACTCTTTATTTGATTTATAATTTCTTAAAATATGAATGTGTAAAACTGCAGAATCACGAATGATGCGAAATTCGTCAAGGGGCATACAACTGAAATTAAGATGCAAAAAAGTTGAGAAGCAGCTCTTAGACATTTCGTGAAATTAAAATCAATTAAAGAGCTTAAATTTCATTGCGAAAAAAGAATTTCTCTAGTTGCTTTTGCTAAATTTACTTTAAATATTAAGGCAAAAAATTGTTGCTCACTTTCGGCTTAGTTGAAAATCAAATATAACTTAGAGATAGTAGTATAACTAGGTAATACTAATAGAAAAAGAGTGAGAAATGTGATTATTGAAAAGAAAAAAAAGAGAGCAATTTGAAAAAATATTTAATCTTAATAAGTAAAATATTTAAAATAAAATCATGCAGTGGGAAGGGAATCAAAACGACAAAATACCTGTCGGTAGTCCACTAGAACACATCAAAAGAATAAGAAATTTGAAGATGCAAGGGAAAAAGGCTACAGCAAGTTTAATACACCAAGAATTGTCAGCAAATGATCATTCTGAAACTTTAACTATAATGCTTGACGATCTGCTAAGCCCAGAAAAAGTTATAAGCGACTCAGATAATATTGAATGGTGTAAATGGATTATTGCAAGTGGAAAATCTCCCAATGACTTCTCAACTCAAGGTATGTATGGATTTCTTAGTTTCTTAACACAGCGAATGCTTTTACATGCGTTCTCTAAATTGAAATATAAAAGCAATCTGAAAAAAAAGGGTTCAAAAAAAGGGCACATTTGACACACTTTCGTGTTCAATATGAAAGATAAAATTAATCCATTTACGCATTTACCTGCTATAGATTAATAATGAACAAAATTGCGGAGGTGTATAAAAAAATTGATTAAGGTTATAACTTTCCTTGTTGTTGAATTTTCTTGTTTTTCTCGCTTTTTATTTTCATTCTCATCTTAATTCTTCTATAAATATTTTATTTATAATTTTATTGCGTATCTAGTTATTTAGAATAATGATTAGGTAAAACTTCTCTTGAAGGGAATTGATAAAGTTCAAACTGCAAGCTAAAGTCTTTTTAACTTTTCAATACGAGAAAAGAAAAAAAATAATAATAAATTAATAAATAAATAATAAATTTCTAAAGCGAAGAAAAGCTTTCAATTTAAATAACATTTTCCTTTGAGATTATTGATGTTCCTTTAAAAAATTCTGTGAAATATGCATATTTTTTATAATTGCTGATATGTATCTTTAGCAATTTATAATTTAATAACTATTGTAATGGTTCATTGAACCTCCTTTAAGGTCGCTCTTCTTCTATTCCGGTTTTTCATTTCGGAACTTCATTCGCTGTTTTGATAAATAACAGGTCATTAATTTTATTAGTATGTATCTTTTGATAACCTTTCTACGTAGCAAAAGTAACTTTCATGTTATTATTGTCGAAAAAAAAGAGTAGATAGTCAAAGAATCATTACAAACACTTCTTTTAAAAGTGAGTATTGAATAGAACATGATAAAAAAAGCGTAAGTGGTTCCGGTATTTTAAACAGTTTAATTGTGGAAAGAAATCTACATGATATCGTGAGCTTGAGAGCACAGGTTTGTGATTAAAGAATGTTTCGTAAAAGAAAGTAAACTTACTGCTGCAGTACTTTTTAATCATCGAGTTTAAAAACGAATTAAGTGATGTTGAAGAAAAAAATCTTTGTGCGTAGATATTTATGTTAAAAAGCTCCATGTGCTTCATGTTGCTTAAAAATGATCTTCCTTCATTCTGCTTAAATAGCATAGCATTCAGTCTATGTACTTTGCATTCAATTGTGTATAGAGAGTCTCTCTACTGACTTAAAAAATACTACAAATAGATGAATTGATATGAAATTTGAAACTATCGTCGTCATGTTAATTATCTTCTTCGATTAGCATAAATATTTCTGTCGCTTCTATATTAAAATAATAATAAACATTTAAATTTTAAGTTTTCTGATGAATTCAATCTAAATATTTATGAAAATTCTTTTCTTTTTTTTTACAGTTCGTGGATATGATAATCATGCTAAGTGTGGTCTTGTTTGGGTGCCTCATGTAGTCGCTTACCGTTGTCGTATTTGTGGCACGTCACCGTGCATGTCAATATGTCGCGATTGTTTTAAAAGAGGAAATCATAAAAACCACGATTTCAACATGTTTTTGTCACAAGCTGGAGGTGCTTGTGACTGTGGTGATACATCTGTTATGAAAACAGAAGGATTTTGTAGTGACCATGGCATAAATAATTGTGCACATAAAGGTCCTGTTCCTCCTGATTTGATGTGTGTTGCAAAAGCGATGATGCCAAGATTATTGCTACGATTGTTACTTCATTTTCGAGATCATCATAGCAATCGAGGTCATTCTTATAACTATGAGCGTGCAGCTAAAGACTGTGATGAATATTGTAGCATGCTTATGGACTTTAATAATATGGGAGAGCTTATGAGAAGAATAATGACACATTCGTTGATTGATCCAGAGGTTTATAAAAGACTTGTTAAATCGCCATTTCCGAAAAATAAGTTTGGTCAATATATGATTCAAAGTAGTCGAAAATATGAAGAAGCTATAAAAATGTTCCCATGTCCAGATCCACCAGAAGAGTATGAGAAATTGCCAGCATTGGGAAAAGATTTAGTTCATAAAAACACTTCTGGAAGAATTCATATTTTGGACATTCAAATATGAATTTCCTCAAAATGTTGTTTGCTTCTTACTTAACATGCTGCCAGATCAAGATTACAAGGAACATTTAACGAGAACATTTGTTATGCATTACAGTCGAATTCCTTGTGTATTGGAAATGTCGGAAGATGCCGACACGATGAGTAATCGTGTTGTTCATGTTAGTGTTCAATTGTTTTCGAATGAAAATCTTGCTCTTAAAATGGTAGAAGAACTTAATCTACTTCATGTCATGATCATCAGTTTGAAGTCAATGGTTTCGAAGATTTTAATACCAAATACTTTACATGATCCAGAAAAGAATTTTCATTTTGTTATTGATTGTGCTAAGAAAGTCATGAAGGAGCATTGCTATTGGCCACTTGTATCAGATTTTAACAACGTTTTGTCACATGAAAGAGTTGCTCTCGTCTTTTTAAAAGACGATAACTTAATCGATATGTGGTTTCAATTTTTATCAATGCTTCAAGGTATGTTTATTATTTATTAGAATGTATTATCAAAAATTAAAAATTAATTTCCTTTCAAGGAATGAATGTTAACATTCGGGAGACTTCAAGTCATGTCGAATTCGAACCAAGCTCATATTATGCAGCATTTAGTTGCGAATTAGAAGCGAGTGCGTATCCAATGTGGTCAATAATTTCACATTTAAAAGATGGAAGTTATGCTGAGTTGTCAAAGAAAATTATGAACTATTTGGTCATTTACTTGCAAGAATGGCTCGACGCTGTAAACTTTCAATCGCCTCACATGCCGAGTAGCGAAATGATGCATGCTTCGTTTCATTTCCCACTCCATCGTTATCTTGCTGCGTTTATTTATCAAGCTGTTAAAACAATGAATATTCCGCTGAATGACATTCTACCTGGATCTGAAACCATCAAATTACTTATGATTCATCCCTTACGTGTTCAGGTGAGTTTCAAAACACATTTTTATTTAGAATTTTCTATTTCTTCTTCTCACAACATCATTAATTACCTTAATACAAAATTTATCCTTCCTATGATATAATTTCAAGTGATTATCTACTAAAGTAGAGATCATTCAATGTTCTGTTCAACAATTATGTATTTTGCGGTGTTTGAATAGCTTGCACATAAGGGCCGTAATCAAAAGTTTTTATTTTTGGTGCAATGAATCCTCCGTAACCTTTTTGAGCTTTCACGAAAATTCCAATTCCTTCAAGTGGTACTGGTGGATCATTGGTAACATCTTGTGCGTCCAAAAATGGAATTGTTGTTTGCGCAGCATCTTTTCCTATATCACTATGTGTAAACTTAATGAATGTGTTTGGTTTCGAAATCGGAAGTGATTTCGCTTTTGATTTTATCGGAATGTCAGGTGAAGTGAGAGTCATTTCACTTCGTTTTCTATTTCCCATTGAGGCCATTTGATCAGTGTTATCATTGGACATCCAAAAGCTTTTGTCAGCTTCAATGATTTTTCCAGTGCTAATTAAAAACAGTTCTTTAAGTTAGGGAAGTTTTTAAAAAGAGAAACATAAGAATTTACCTGAAATTTATTTCCGAAACCCGCATTTCAAGATTTAAATGACGACCAACAACACGGAACTTCACACCTGTCTATAAAAAATAATTTAAAAACTGCAAATAAATTTTTAAAACGAAATCTTACCACAACATGCCCTACTGGTGCAGTTAAATCATCTAAATCAACTTCTCGACGATCCCAAGCCAGCGTGTGATAATCACGTCCATCACGTATGCCTTTATCATAAATTGTATAATCATCAACAGGAACCCATCTTACTGTTGTTCTATTAATTTTTCCACGTTCAATTAACTGCCCTTCTTGAATTTGAAGATGAATTATTCGGTTTTGTTTGAAGAAACGAATCCCAGTGACGACCCTAACATGCATTCAGAATATTGTTTTATTAATTTAAAATGTCATCTCATTATGTCTACTCACATATTGCTGGAAACATTAGAAAACGTTGGACGTAGATTAAAGTATCTGTCAGATTTTTTCCCTTGTTCATCACATATACATAAGCAGTAACTACAATGCCAGAATAAATATCGCCACCATGAATCAACCTAAAACAGTCAGTAAATAATTTTGTGCCATTCAATTGCAGGCTGCAATAAAAGTTTCGACTAACCTTTGTCGTTCCTAATAAACAATTTTTCCTCTCCCCTAAAACTTTACCATTTTCATATTCGATATATTCATAACGACGTGAACTCATAGGGTGTGATGGACAAACCCACATATCAGCATCCTTAAATGAAAGAAATTCAAATCAAATATTTTAAGAAACATGAAATTGACTTACGAAAAAGTTACAAAACAAAAGTTTTCCGGAGCATTTTGGTTGTTTGGCACAGTAAAGTTCTTTGAAACAACCGTAACTTTCAGTCAATTGATAATGCGGACAAGTTTCCCAACAACCACCTTCACGATTCAAATCAACTTCATTTTCAATGTACCCTTGAAGTAATCTTGTAACTTGAATATATGTTGAACCTTCTTCATGCTTGTTTGGATCGCAACGCCATAAATCTCGTTCAGATATTTCCATAACTTTTTGCATAAGTTCTTGCGATTTTGCTGCTCTTTTCTCAAAGTTCTTTCTCATCAAATATGATTCTTGTGTGTAGTTTCCTTTATATAGATCATAATTAATTATTATTTTTGAATAATTAATTGAATTTTGCTTACCTTTTCCATAAGTTTTTAAAAGCATGTAGGAGAATTGCATCATTGCATATCCCTTCAATTCAGTCATTGTGATTGCATGGTAAAGTTGATATAAAACTTGTTGCGGTGATCTGCGTGATAAGCAAAGCGATATTTTTGCTTCCTAAAACAAAAACAAAAAAACAGAAATAATTAAATAGTTATGAGATGTGTAATTAATGGGAAATGAAATCAAAGTAATTAAAACTCGCACAAGCAAGCACACACCGATTTGGCTTTATAATAAAGTCCCTGATTATAAATGTTGTTTTGTATTTTCTCAAGAGTAGCGTTCACAGGCCACAATGGATCACTAAGTGATGTTTCTGCAAAGTCAAGACTTGCGCGCTCATCGAACCCATCTCCGTTTATATCATTCGTTTCAAGTTCTCTCTCAAGTACTCTTCGAAAATTGTCTCTAAACAGAACATGTATGCTTTTAACGTCAGGTTCAATCATATTCCATTCGTAAAATCGTTCAAGAACACTGAAATCTGCGCCATCATAATCATCTTTTAGGTATTGTTGAATGAACATAAAATGTTGATTAAATATTTTATAAAGTCGTTCATTTCTCGACAACACCGACACTTTGTCTACATATTTTTCCCACAAGCCCTTTTCCATTTGAATATAGAAATTGCGGACATAATCACATTCTGTTGAACCATCATGACGAGCCGTCTTTACAATTGAACTTAAAGATACAATAATCGAGCACAATAATATCAAGTTGTTTTTCATCTCCATCTTTTCTTTTTTTATTTTAATATGTTTTTATTTCTGAAATAATTTTAAGAAACGAATTTAATTTTTTTTTCATCATCGTCACATCGCCGACACGTTTGTTTTGCAAAAAAAAATAAAGCGACAAAATAATAAAGAAGAGCGTTTCTGTCTGTATGTAAAAATATATAAATCAATAAACAAGAAGTCGTTCTAAAAAGCGTTCACATTGAGCGATAACAGCAGACAATTTACATAAAGAAAAGCGCTCTCTGACCTTGAATTTTTGATAAATAAATAATCAAGCAAGTGAATAAATCGAAAAAAAAATTCTCTAATGACTGTTTAGAGTCCAAAACGAGGTGAAATCTATCAAAATATTTAATGAGATTTTAATTGTCGTGCATTACACAAAATTTCACTTAAAAAAGAGAATCTAATACAAAAATTTATTTTCTTCCCCACTTTCCGTTAATCGATAAGTTTATTCGATATTTTCACCAAATTTATTTTATTCACTAAAAATATTTCAAATCACAATAGTAAAACTTCATGAAATCATTATTTTTCAAATAATATTTAAGAGATTTCGCGATTGATATGATTGAAACCGTGGCGAAGTAAAATGACCTAGTACGAAAAGAATCAAATGCCAACTGTTTGTTTTATTTGTGATTTGTGATTATTGTTGAACTGTACGACGTTTGTCTCGCAGCTCTCTCATTGTTTCTCACTTTAATGTGAATTGAAGTTGGAAATTTTTACAAGTAAGTTTCATTCTCTCAGAGTAAGTTTGCTTGTGTGTTCATTTAAATAATATTATAAGGAAAAGTTTACTTGCCTTCATATCGATAGCAATGAGCTCCAATAAACCACGATTTCCAAGAATTCGAAACTCGTTTCCTGATGGTCCACCGACCAAACTTTGTATTCTCGGTAATATTCCTTTTACTGATACCGCATTTTCTTCAATGACAGCTCGAGCAAATTTTTCTAACGTGTCACGTTCAAAATGATCGAAGTGTTCAACATATTCTTCGTAATGATTATGAATACTTTCAATTCGTGTTACTAAATCAATCATTTCATGAATTGCAAGTTCCAACTTTGTGTTTGTACGGATATATGATTCAAGTCCTTGCATTGTTACTTCGGAAGATTCTTGAACCTTTGAAATTGAAAGAAATATTTTAGAAGAGAACATTTGGAAGCATTTGAATTGTGATTGTCTACCGTCATTTCAGCATAGCGGAATTCTTGAGCAAGTTCAGCCATTCTTGAAATGATTTTTTTCTCTTTTCGTTTCATAAATGGTAAATCAATTTCATTTGTAACACCGACTTGATCCGCCAATTCCCATGTGCTCGAAATTGTTTTAATAACTTCTCTTCCCAAGTAGAGAACTTCGATAACATCTTCAACGAGTCCATTTACATGGAAAGGTGTTTGAAATGCAAAAAGCAAAAGCAGTGTTCTTAGATTTGCCATGTTCACCCTTTTTCGTTTTCTCTTCTCTTCAGACTTGTCTTGAATGTCGTCGACTTTACCTGAGTTGAGTCACTGATTTAAGAATTTACATAAATTAAAAACTTGAAGAACAATCATCAATCATCTGCGTTTATGAATGAGCGCAATGTCATAGAACAGTTTATCAACAATTTTATTCGGTTTGTTCAAGTAGATATTCAACCGGAAATTTGAATGATGTGACTCATTCCTTTTCTCTTTTAACGGGATTTCGTTCTCACTGATTCAACGAATTGTTTTGATGACTCATAATAATTTTATTAAATAATGTGATATATAATAACAAACTGGTCGTCGAGGTAACAACTCACATTCAAAACAATATAATTGGCGATTTAAATATCGTTGTTAATTATGTTCACAATAACAAGAAGAGGAAAATTAAACTTAAACCTTCACACTTTGTTCCACAAATTCAAACTTTAAGAAGCACTTGTTCGGCTTTTTACCAACTCAAAGATTTGCTCTTCGCGCATTCATTACAAAGAAAGAACTGAAAATAAAGTCTCTCATAATAACATGACTGGTTTGGGAATTCTCGTGCAATTTGATACTTGTTTGAGAGCATAACAAAGAGCATTATTATTAATTTTTCTTCTCACCGCTTTTATTATGAACACAAGATTTTGTCGTGTTTAGTCAAGGGGAGATTCATAAATTATGAAAGAAACATTGACAAATTTAAATATGAAAAGCATTAAAAATTGATGATGAACCATTCCTCGTCTTTAATCTTCTCTCACTCTTAGAAATAAAAAGAAAAATCAAGAGAATAAATATTTTTTCCATCTTTATTTCATTTCAGAGCTTATTCTATGAAATATTGTCAGGAATATGGGTTAGAAATGGATTACAAATAAAAGGACAAGCTATGACTTACATTCAAGCGAATTTCTGTAATTCCATGGTTGATATGGATTTGTTTTTCCTACAAATCTTTGCTACACAATTGCCAGCAAGCTTCTTTCTCTCATCCTGCGTTGAAAGCTTTGGTGTAGATGAATGGTTTTTTGGTAATTTAACATCGCCGCAAGAAATGGAACACGATTCAATGATGGAGGGAATGTTGACATTTCTAGCGACACTCGTTACATCAAGAACAAATTTAGGCAATGATGAAGACATGAAATGTATTGTTGAGATAAGTGCACTTTTAGCCACAAGTGACAAGACTCACAGTCAACTACTGGAGCTGATGCCAGAGCGATCAGGAAATGCTTATGCAAGAAATTTTGAAAAGTATTTAAAACAATTGTCGACGTATCGTCCACCACCAGTAGGATCAGAAAATCTCGAACAAGGTCTTTTTATTCCTCTACCAGCTGTATGGAAAATTCATTATGATCCTTTACATGTGCTACTAAGAGCTGTTCATAGACGAGACTTTCAAAACTCGATGGATCGATTCAGTGCTTATGTTCGACAACATCATAAGATGCCCAAAAGTGGCAATCTTTGGCCACCATTTCGACTTCCCAATAAGGTTAACAGCAAATACACAGATCCAGTTTGTATTTTAAATACAAAAGTTTTCCATTCAATGATTCTCGGCATTTTATATCGAGCAGTTCATGTAACAAACGTAAGTGAACATTTGATAGCGCTTGGAATATTTCTTCTGGAAATTGCTGTAACATCAGTTGCTGAAGAGAAAGAGAAAGAAAAGGAAAAATTTTCACATCGTTCAACAGTACTCGAACGGTCACCACGATCGGGAGGATTTCATTCATCATCCGACGGAGGTGTTCATGAGAAAACTCGTGAAATTCCCGTCTTAATGAATTGTTATCCAACAAATAACTTAATGGAGAATTTATGTCTGTCAATCAATGCAATTTCATTAAATTCACCAGCATTACAAAATTCGCCAGCGAATTATCAATCTCAGTTCGATAGTGACGTTGAGTTTGAATTATCAGAAGGCGACACGATGCCAATGTTGATTGGAAGTCTTGAACATGATTTTTCTGCTTATAACGTTGTATTTGATGTTGCTGTTCCTCAAGACTTATCAATTGTTCGCGAAACTTCTGTTGTTTCTGCAATAATGGATGAAAATTCATCAGCAATGAGTGGAACAGCAGCAACACCAGGAACGACTGTTATAGCCACGAATCAAATAATGCCGCCACTTGTTGGTCGTGCAGGCGAATCTGTTGATCAAAGTGTTGTGGAATATCGTAGCAATGAAGTAGCAACAACACAACGTCCTCAATTAGCAATTGCATCAGGAAATGTTTCAATGGAATTAGCTGTAAGACAAGTAGGAGAAGCAACAACAGGAGCAGCTGATGGAGTGAGACCTCAAGAAATATTTTACAGCACCAATGGTAGTGACACTCTACCTACTTCAATATTGGTGCCGTTTAATCGAGTTCAACCAGTTGCTGTGCCAAATCGCTCAAATATGGACATTGTTCCAAGTGCTGGTGGTTCTTCTAATTTTCGAAGAAGACGTAAAAATATGGACGTGACTGGGGGTAGTAGCAGTAGTGGTGGAGAGTTGTCAAATGATATCATTGCAGTTGATGAAAGCATCATTTCACTTTTATTGAAATTACATTCACAGTTAAGTGGAACTTTGGATAGTTTCTCTTTGGAAGATAACAACGAAGATATGAAATGTGATGACGATGATGGTGGTAGTGATGATGATGTTGATGACACCATGATGCATAATAATGATGAAAACAACAGCAGCTGCAGCAGTTATAAGAATAGCAACCCATCTAGTCAATATCATCAAATAAAATACAATGAATTGCGGATTGGTGATGGTCCATTCTTCATCGGTAATTTATTGCATAAGATCGCTAATAGCGATGAAATGTGCGCTAAAAATATTAATGAAATACGACAAAAGCTTTGGCCAAATCAAAGAGAACGTCAAGCTGAACAAAAAGCTCGTGAGAATAAAGAGAAGGAAGAAAGAACAAAACGTGCTCGTGAACGACAACAGAAGCTTATGGAAGAGTTTGCTTTTCGTCAAAAGCAATTTATGGCGTCGGAAGGGAAAATGATGGAAGGAATTGATGATGATGAGATTGATGAAGAAGAAGCACCGCGTGAGAAGGAATATGACTGCATTATTTGCAATTGTACTGGTCCGAGTCTCGAGACAAATCCCATAGGATTAGTTGTGTTAGTTGAATCAAGTAGCATTGTGGGTCATCGTCGAAAAACATCGAATCGTTTTCCACTGCCGGTATGTGATGAAGATAAAGAAATTCCTGAACGAAATGTGAGATTAAGTAATGAATTTAAGAAGCGTGCTGAAATTCTACATCGAAAATATGGAACTCAATGGTTTTTAACACAAAATATATGTTGGGAAGGTGGCGTTCATGTGCAGTCATGTGGACATCATGTTCATTTAACATGCTACGAATCGTATTTGAAATCTTTGGGTCCAATGCGTTCTCAAAATCTCAACATAGAGCATGGCGAGTTTTCATGTCCCGTGTGTCGTCAACTTGCAAATTCAGTTTTACCTTTAAGTCCACAATTAGATCGTCCTACGACAATCATTCGAAATCCAACGCCAAATTATGGACAACTTTGTGTCGAGTTAATGGAACTGATAAAAGACACGAAAAGATCAACAGCAACATCGAAACTTGAAGAAGCGATGATTAGAGCAATGGAAAGTATGTCGAATAGCACAAGAAACATTAAGAAATATCATGCAGAAGCATTGTATCAAAATCCACCAACAAGTGAGAGTCTTTTCTCGTTTGTTACGTCGGTTGCACGAACCAACTTAGAGTCAGAAGTTATTCAACGTGGAGGCTCATTGTGTACATTTAATGATGTTCGTTATCGACCAAAGAGGGAATGTATTGTGCCGTTGTTGCATGTTTTAGCGTTTCATGTACGTCTAATGATAAATAATAAAAATGTGCATTTTGGACATTACGAATGGAAAATGGATCGTGCATGGGCTACCTTATGTGGAATACCACTTAATGACAATGATGATGCTCCAGTTCCTTCATATTCATGTAATAATGAAAATTTTACAATTCCAAGTCTTATTACTGATCCATGCGCTCAACTTATTAAATTCATTCTCTTGGCTCCTTTACAATTGGATCAAGGTGAGTAATAAGATGTGCATGATGATATATTTAAGTAGAGTCAAAGTTTTTCCTTTTCACCTGTAAATATCAGATTCGAAAAATAGACTTTAATCCAAGCATAGAAAATTTTCCGGCGTCGTAGCTTACACTTGAATATTCTCTTGTACTATGACTTTGACTGTAATTTATTAATGAATTTAACTTAATTGAAAAGTAACGAACTAATGAAAATCTCTTTATACAGCTTATTTCACCTGTATTGTCAAAGTTATGTATAACTTGATGTACTATCAAATAGTTCTTCAATTTTGTTCTCGTTTGACTGATGAACAATGTGAAGAAACTGTGGCAAAATTCTCAAACACTTCAAATATTGATGAGAATGGCGTTGATGGCCTTGGATCTGCAATGGCGCTTGTTTTAAATAATTTAGATAATTGTAAAGATTTTCGACAAGATCTCTTTGAAAATGATTGCAGTAGTTATGAGATGAATGATCATGATGATGTTGACATGAATGAAGGGGAACATTTTGATATCACCGAATCATCGTCTAACACTTCAAAGGAAACTGAAAAGACTTGGAATATTGATGAAATGCTTATAAAGTTCGAAAAAGAATTAGAATCATTATGTCTACCCTATCTACGCAATGCCGCTCTTTTGCGACATCACATCTATCGTCAAGAGCTGCCAGAAGTCAGAGATTCTGAATATGAATTCGCTAGATTGGTTTACTTTTTAGAACTTGTAACAAAAAGCATGGATTGGAAAGATTTTCATGCTGCAAAAGCTTTATACTTTGCTGAAGGCACTGAATTATCTCTTCCAATTCATTGGTGTAAAGTTTTGAAAGAATCAAGACCACCATACGACACAACACGAGAACTGATCATGAATCAACACATTGTCTGGCATCAACCGCAATTACTTGCTCTGCCACGAGAATATGAGAGATTGTTTACGGTAATAAATAATTGATAATCCATTATTAATTTCTTACTTATGATATTTAATTGCAGTACTATTATGAGCAAGCATGTTTAAAATGTTCATCAATCCCAAAAGAAAGCTCAATTTGTTTAATTTGTGGCAAAATTGTTTGCCTCAAACAAACCTGTTGTAAGGAGCAAGATTGTTGCGAAGCTGTTCGGGTAAGTGAAATAATTATTTATATAGATATTTACTAAAAATTAACTTCATTTTTTCATTTTTTTTCTTTCTCCTTTTTCTTTTATTAGCACGCAATTACTTGCGGCCGTGGAACTGGAGTGTTTTTAGTTGTCACGTCAACCTTCATCATCATTGTTCGTGGTAGTAGAGCTTGCCTTTGGGGATCATTATATCTTGATGGGTATGATGAAGAAGATCGTGATTTAAAGTAAGTGATTTGTTTGTTTTTTTAATTTGAAAAGTTATGAATAATTGACAACTTAAACATTTGAAAAAAGGTGAAAGTTTCTTAATTTTTCGCAGCACCTCATTTCAAATTTTAATTATTTTATTTTTATTTCAAATTTATAGACGAGGTAAACCACTTTATCTTTCGAATGACCGATTCAATTTGCTTGAATCTCAATGGCAGTCGCATCGTTTTGGACACATTAATCGATCCTGGGTATTTCATAGAGATTCTCTTTAATCAATTTAATTAAATGATGAAGACACATCGACGAACTTTTCATGAGCATGTGATAAAGGAATATCGTTCGTTCAAGAATATTATTTTATCAGCCAATAGGTAGTTGAAAGAAAAAGAAAAAAAAATAATAAAAATTTTAATTCACTCAAATTGCATATTTTTATCTTTTCTTTTATCGAGCTGTCTTGTATTCAATACATTATTGTAGTTTATTTGTAAAAATTATCAAATGACAACGATACCTAACTTAAAACTTGTTTCAACAATCTAATAAAGTATTTGGAATATTTATACATAAAATTAAAACAAAAACTTTTCATATAATCTTTCAGGATCATCGAAACATTAATTTCAGCGATAGAAATTTCAATTGAAGGAGAAACAACGTTTGAACTTTATTAACTTTTTATTTCTTTATTTGGTTGAAACTTACATTCAATGTTTTAGAAGAGAAAAGCTTAATTTATAGTCGTTGATTAAAGTTCTGAAAACCTTTTAGAAGGTAAGTTATGGTGTTGCATAATTATCTGAATTTCATAATTATTTGACTTGTATACATATAACAACAGCAATTGTTTGATTATTTATTTAACTGACATCCAAATATTTAGTTAAAAATGTATGCAAATTGTCGTTTAAATGTAGAATCTAGTTTCAGAACCATCAGCTAACATAAGTGTGACAGTTCGATTATTTATCCAAATTAGCTTAGCTAACCTCATTTGATTTAATCGTGTTACGTCTGGAATCGGAGCTGTTGAATATCCTTTAATGCATTTCGTTTGACTTTGTCCAAGTCCAAACATTCCTAAAGATTTCAATACTATTAAGTATGAAGAAAATAAATATTTAAATAAAGAAACTTACCAGGGCTTGTTTGCCAAAATGATAAACGATTTTCAGCGCACGAATAGCTGACGAGATACTTTCCTTCGGGACTGAATGCTAAAGCTGTTATTGGTTGATGATGAGCTGGAATCATTTGACATTTATTTTGTCTCAATTCGTAAATCGCCAGATGACCATTATGAGCACCAACTGCAATTCTCCTCGTTGACGCACAATGCGAAACTTGATTGAATTTACAAATTGCAGGACAAACTTCATTCAAGCCACGATTCTTTAAGTCAGCCATGTCCAAGCAATGAATTGTAATGTCAGTCACTTCAACAAGCAACACCGACATTTCAGTTTGCATTTTTTCGATCAACATTTCAACAAATTGCAGAATTTCTTTCTTAGCTCGATGAAGAACTGATTGAGTTAGTGGCACACTCAATGCTTGCGAGTTCTGCTGTAGAGTGTTGTAAAGTGCAACTTCCCTTGCCATTGTGGTGATAAATGCAGCTGGACGAGCTGTCACAATAAGACGAAGTGCATGCCTTGCAGTTCGACATGCATCTGCTTGTGGTGTCAAAGGAAGTTTATATATAAGTTAAACTTGGAACCAAACGAGATGAATCACATGAAATCTCAAGTAATCCCAATAAAACTTTACTGACATCATGATAAGGCTCCCAAACTGTAAATCCTCTTCCAATCATATCAATTGCTGCCCGTCTTAAAGGTGTATGAGCTGGAAGCTTCATAGTCGGCGGTTCAAGTAACAAATGCGTCAATGCCATCGCCGTAAGACGAGCTAAATTATTGTTACCAATACCAAAACCTTCAACAACAGAACTCTTTCTTCTTTGCTGTTGTTGATCAGTTGGCAACTTTTGTTGCTGCGTCTGCTGTTGTTGTTGCAGTTGCTTATTTTGATTTGGATTTGTATTAGTTTCATTTGAAATATCTTGACCGAATTCAGCACCAATAACACCCAAAAGAACAACAGCTGTTGATTGTTTTCTCTTCAATTCTGCTAAACTTGATGGCTTCTGACGAACGACTTCTTCTTCCTCTTCTTCAATTTCTTCTTCATTAGGATCAGTTGATGATTGTCGTGCGTCAATTCCTCCAGGTGATGACGAATTGACTGGAGATGCTGGTAGAACTTGTTGGGCAATTGGTTCTGTATGAGTGTAAAGTGGCAAGAATTGAGCCCAATTTTCAACCAACTGCTTCCGCCCTTTCTTTCCCATTCGTCCCAATTCACCAAGAAACAATTGTTGAGCTGCTTGTCGAATCTCAATGCAATGATGTTGCCAACGTCGTGCCATCAATTCCACTTGTGGCCGTTTGAAGTTTCTTGGCTCCATCGAATCAACTTTATCCGGTAACAAGAAGCAATGATGTGTTGACAGAAGACTCCAACCTTGTTTTATCTTCCCTTGTTGTTCGGTTAAAATTTCTTCATGCTCATCATCACTCGCCCACGCAACAACATTTGCCTTCGTCGATGTCAACGATTGTTGTTTGGAAATCTTGCGAGTTCTTTCTTGTTCTGGAATAAATGTCGCCATATTCATCGATATTAAAGTGTTCGACATTGCAACCATTCCCAATAGATGATTGGATGTTAATGTCGTGCTTAACTCCCAATGCAAACGAGCTGTGAATAATCGTGTCAAAGTCTCTTGTCGTAATAAATTCTCTGGAAGAGACTTGTTCAATTGAACTGATTCCATTCCTTTGAATAAGTTCTGAACAGTTTCTTTCTTGATGGTGTTTTGCCAAGTTGGCAAGAGAAGTGACATGTCACCTTTTGACGATACTCCGTATGAAATAGGAACCATTGGGCGAAGAAGACCTAATTGTGTCTCACAGACAATATTCAAAAGTGGATCAAGACCCCAAGAATGTATCAGTGACAACATTAACTGAGCTACTTCCATCACATGAGTTGCTTCCATTTTTGGAATGATCTTTCGAGTACTATCAAATGGATCTATTCCCGGTTCATTAATTTGTTTCACAACTGTTTCGACTTTAGCTTGAATCTTCGTTCCTACTTGTTCAGCTCCTTCCTCCACCTTCGCCAATATTCCTAAGTCAAAAAATTGAAATTATTATTTAACAATTAATTAATTATTGGATCTAAGATATTAGATGAATCATCATTACCATGTTTATCTTTTTCCAGCTTTGTTTTTAACTTTCCCCAAAAAATCTGTCACCATTTCATTCATTAAAGGATATGAAAGCAAGTTTTAGAAAATTTAATTAAATAAGAGAAAAAGAGAGCGAGATAGAAATTGTGAGTGTTACGATATCAAAAGCACAACAGAACAGAAAAAATATTGACATCAAGTAGACAATGACAAATTATTAAGCTTTCATCATTAGTACCTGTAATTTTTTGCTTGTATCTGATGTTGGATGAGTTACATGTTGCTGTATTGACAGACCTTGCGCCTTGTCAAAAGAAAGTCAGATTTCAATTTAAAACTATAAAAATTATAATTGCGTAATTACCTCTAACGTTGTTGGACTCATCGCCGCATACTCTTCACTGTGCAGTTCAACAATCAATCCTTCGATATCGAAGAACAAAATGTGACTTTCAGCATCTATAAAAGATATGAAAATGCAATCGAAAATATTTAACAATCACTAATCCATTAATCATTGATGCTGATAAAAATAGAAAAAGCATTTATTTTGATTTTATTCGCTTCGCTCACGCATTCTCTTTATTAATTAACACAATAATTTATTGTTATCATCTAAAAATTTTTTTCTTCTTCTTCGTCGTCTTCATTTTCGTCGCGAACCAACTCGAATTATTACAATATTATGACCCATGTGTTTCACTTCAGATACAGCCTTCGATGTCACATCAGCCATTGTTTCATCCATTTCTTATTTCTTCATAACCGAACTGCACAATCTCTCTCTCTCCTCCTCACCCCCTTTCTTTCTTTCAATTAAGTTTGTTCTTTCTTTCTATTCGGTTTATTTAATTAACAATATATGTAAATGTTCCTCTTTTCTCTTTATTTTATTTATTCTCTTATTAATAAAGAAAACCTCAACGAGTCCTTGATATTCTATCAATTTGCGAAAAGATTTTTTACAATTTTTTTTTGGAAAAAAAAGGAAGAGCCAGAAATATTTTTTATTCTTTTGGAAAGCAGAAAATCAAGATGTAAACTAATATTTACACGAGACTGAGACTTTCGGTTGGTGATGCTTCTTTTTTCTTCTTTCTCTTTTATTTCTTTCCTAAAAAAATCATAATTCATTAAATTTGCTTTTCAATTATGTTTTAAATAGTCATAAACTTTACCTTTTCTTAGCGATGCATTTTTTGAGAATTTTCTTTTAGTTTTTATGTGTGTTTTTTCATCATCATCATTTTTTATGTTGAGTTTTCCTTAAAAGTCAGTTCATCCTTAAAATTCTAAAATTCCTAACTAAGTCGTCAATTTCTTCTCGAGTGCAGCATCACCACCTCATTGAGTCTGGAATTGTTGCATAGTGTACAACATTGGTTGGGGTGTTCCATTGTTACTAGTGCTGTTGCCATTTGAAATGGAATTTTGAATAGGTGCACCTCCAGCTTGAGGTGGGGGAACTCCCCATGCTGTTGCCATATTTGCAGGTACTGCTGATGGTTGAATCATTCGATAACCAGATATTGCAGCAGCATTCTGTTGTTGTTGTTGTTGTGGACTAGCATAAGCAAATGGATATCCAGCATATCCTTGTTGCATATATTGTGCGGCTTGTGCTGTCATTTGAGCCGGATATCCTGCTGGATACCAATATCCCATCTGTTGTTGGTAAGCATAAACTTGTTGTTGTTGAAGCTGCTGCTGTGTTGTAGAATTAGCGGCTGGTGATGCAGCTATAATTCCTTGTCCCATCATAACAGAAGCTCCAGTTTGATCACCGCCATTTCCATTTTCTTTTCCCCAAAAACATTTCACCGCGTGTCCATACACATCAGAATTGTTTGTACCTTCAATAGCTCGGGCAGCTGCTTCTTTCGTTGTAAACTTTATAAAGGCGTAACCTTTATCTTTAAACACTCTGATATCATGGATCTGACCAAATTGTCCAAAATGTTTGTAAATCATGTCATCAGTGAGTACATTGGCTGTAAATCCTCCACAATAAACTGTTGTATTTGTGGGACTTGTTTTATTATAAATCTCTTCATAATCAGCTGTTTTCGATACACCTTTACCAGTCGTTGCTGGTGGCTTTCTTGTTGACCAATTAGTTCGAATAGCTCTTGAACCAAGCCATTGTCCGTTCATTGCTTGAATTGCATTCTCTGCATCGCTTTTTTTCACAAAAGAAACAAAGGCATATCCTTTCGATTTTAATGTTTGAGGATCACGAACAATGAGACAATTTGAAATCTCCCCAAAAGGAGCAAACGCTTCACGTAACGTTTCGGTCTCAATTTCTGGACTAAGATCTCCAACAAATATGTGATGATGGTGACTTGTATCAGTTTTGGGCTGATTTCCAGCACTGCTTGTCGCCCAATTAACCTTCATTTCACGATCGAGAAACGAACGTTTATTCATTGCGCTGAGTGCAGTTGATGCTGCTGTATGATGATGATATTCAACGAATGCATATGGATCGCTACCAGAATCACGGATTACTTTGCAGCTTTTAACGGGACCCATTTGAGAGAACAGGGTGCAAATTAATTCTTCCGTCACGGAATGATCTAAATTGCCAACATAAAGTGTCGTGTTTCCAGTAGGCTCCATGTTGAAAATACAACTATTTATATTTATTGCTTGAAATCTTTACACTTAGATGTTTATGTTACAGCAAATTTCTAGGCTGCGATTTTTTTCTCTTTATATTTTTGACCCTCCTTTATTTTTTCAACACTGAATGTCTGCCCGCGAATAGAAAGTTTCTTTTTTGTCTAGTGTTTCGATATTTTTCCTTTTAAATTTACTTTTTTACGATAACCAGACACAAGCTGAAGCCTGAATACGTATTTTATAATTCTTTTACACACTACAAATCACAGCATTCACAAAAAAATGAATCGAAATTTGGCAAAAGACCGCGGACTTATCGACAAACTTGTAATGTCGCTGCAATCGTTTTTTTCGGCGAGTTTCGACTCCCTTTTCGACTATTTTTAATTTTCAAAAAAGCGTTAAACTAAATTATCGGCAACATTTTCTCATAATTTCATAATAAAAAATCGTGCTGGAATTTATCACACTGTTGTGTTGACAATTTTACCAACACAATTGTTCGTGTTGTTTAAATTCAATTTATCAAATCCCAACAATAAATTAATTTAAATAAATAAACTCACCCTTAGGATTTGTTCGCAAGCCTTGAATGACCAGAGGACTGTTACGATTCTTCATCAGGAAATTGCCGTCATTGTTATTATGTGCATTCAATTGCTGTAACTGATGAATGCCTCTCTGCGTAGCATGTTTTATAGCGTTAATGTTACGATGACGTAAACCACGAAAGAAATGAACAGCCGGATTGGAAAGTCCGATGTCAAACCAGTAACTTCTCCACTTTCTCTGGAATGTTCATCACAAGCAGAAAGAACTTCTTCAGCTAACATTCCATGCAAAACACGATCTAAATGTCCCATTTCCATTTGCCAAACATAAACTGTTCCATCAGAACATCTAGATAGTAACAACAGGAAACAGATGACGACTTGCCAATGTCACACATTTTCTTTCTTGCAGACTCAACAATGTCACTGAATGATCAGAAGCAACCGAACAAATACATTTGAACACGAAAACAATGGAGCAAAGTGCTGCTATAAAGATCCCATAAGCAAATAGCAAATTCAACACCACCAGAAAGAAGATGACTTCTATCATATCTCGTATGTACCAAATACGGATAAAGCAAACAATTAACACGTCCCGAATGTCCAGCGAGTATTTGATTAGGTGGCCAATCAGTAAATTGATGATGCTTTCCTTGTAAAAGTTTCAACATGACAGTTTGAGTTGCAGGAACAATGACAATTATTCCATCTTCACGACCAGCTAAATACCAACCGACTTTGTTGTGGCAAATAAATACTCGCAGTAACAACAACAGTTTAACAATCGGTTCATTTGGATGATTCAGTTGATCAAGAATACCCACTGGTGGTGGATCCATCAGACTCCATGCTTGTTCCAAACTCGTTGTAATTGTATTCTGAAGAACTTAGAGAAGAAATTTAGTAAAACTTTTGATGTTTAGTTTTTAATATTTATAACAACCTTTGACTGTAGCATTTGATGTTTGAAAACTCTTAATTTCTTCGAGTGAAAAGTCCGGAACTGCCCACATATTTATGAAACCTTCAAAATCACCACGTAACAAATATTTTTGCATTTTTCCAGCTCGTGTTGTCTGGACGAGCTTCATTGACGGTGGACAAGACAGTGATTTTTCATTTCGAAAGGACACAATACAAAAATGGCGAATCTTTCCCAACTGATGGTCCATGGAATTCCTTGTTGTCGGGAATGGAACTAAACATGAAATTGTGAATAATTTTTATTCATGAATTAATTAAAATATTCTTACTTTGCTGGCAGACGATAAAGATATCCTTTGCTTTCATCAGACTAGAGAATAACGCGATCACTCGATAGGAAATCACCGCCCAACCAACGTTCACCAGAAGG